TTGCCTTGTCCAACCCTTTTACTTAGGCTTTACTTTTTCTACTGCTTTCTCAGCCATGAGGCAATATGGTGGAACAGAAAAACTCTACTGTGGCTGTGGAATCAGAGAATCTGGGTTCAAATCCTATCTCTGGTGCTTACCACCTCTTTTGCCTTGGGCAAATCACTTAATCTCAGTTTCTTCCTCTGTAAAATGAGCCAGTTGGCCTCTGAAGTACCATCCAGCTTTAGAGGTATGATCTTCTGGTCCTTTGTTTGGGATGCAGGGGAGGAAAATGCATTTAGATCAGGTCATTTTTTTGTTTGTTTTTTCTCCCACTTCTGCTCCCTGGTGGTGGGCATCTTTCTCGTTTGAGCCTTGAGTGATAACCTGTGTCCCTGTGGATGTGGTTGGAGACCCTCCTTCCTGAGTTCACTCTCCGGGTAGGGGTGGGCAAAGCATGTAAAGGCAGACAAACATAATCTCAAGTCTCTCCCCACTCCAGTTAATCCTCCGATCCAGCTGTTAAATTGATCTTGAGGCGTAGTTCTGACCCTGTGTCACCCATCTATTGAAAACAAACTCCAGTGGTCTCCAAGATCAAACGTGAAATTCTTTTTGGTGTTCAGAGCCCCTCTCAGCCTGGCCGCCTCCTCCCTTTCCAGGCTTCTTACACCTTATTCATCTCCATGTTCTCTTTGATCCAGTGACACTGGCCTCTGCTGTTCCTCACACATAACATTCCATCTCCTGACTCCAGGCGTTTTTATTGACAGTCCCCCATTCTGGGAACTCTTTCGCTTCTTTTCTCCACCTCTTAGCTACCCTGGCTTTCTTCAAGTCTCAGCTACAGCCGTACCTTCTGAAAGGAGGTTTTTATATTCCTCAATAGTAGCTTCTCTTTGAAGTTATCTCTGACTTACCCTGTATGTGTGGTTGATACATGGTTGTTTACATGTTGTATCATCATTAGACTGTGAGCTTCTTGAGAACAGGGGCTGGGTTTTTTGTTTTGTTTTGGGTTTTGGTGGGGTTTTTTGTTTGTTTGCCTTTCTTTGTATCCCTGACACTTAGCATAGTATCTGGCACTTAAGAAATACTTGTTTATTTGTCTGTTTGTTTGTTTAGCATCTTCCCACAATATTTGGTACAGTGCTTGGCTCTGTATGCGATTGTAATAACAGGACTCCAGACACAGTTGCTGCCTGCAGATTGGATAAAGATAATGAGAAGTTTACATTCATGGTGCTCATTACTGAGAGTTTAAAAGATGTCATGATTCAGGAAAAAAGAAACCTAACAGTGAAATTCACAGTTCTAGATCTGTCTCTATGTATGTATATGTGTGTGAGTATGTGTGTGTGTGTGTGTGTGTATATACACACACATATATATGTGTGTGTGTATAGTGTGTATATATAGTGAAAGCAATATATTTGTCTCTACGTATAACTTATATATATGTACACACATACATATATAGAGAGAGACAGAGACAGAGAGAGAGCCTGTTATATATATATATATTTTTTTTTGTTTTGTTTTGTTTTGTTTGTTTTTTTTTAGTGAGGCAATCGGGGTTAAGTGACTTGCCCAAGGTCACACAGTTAGTAAGTGTCCAGTGTTTGGTCTGAGGCCGGATTTGAACTCAGGTACTCCTGACTTCAGGGTTGGTGCTCTATCCACTGTGCCACCTAGCTGCCCCTGTCATATATATTTTTTGAACAGGAACAATTTAATTATTCAGAATATATAAGAAACTTCTACAGACTTCTAAGAGCAACCAATATCCAGAACTGCAAAAATAAAAAAGCGTATTTTACAAGAAAAAAGTAAATTTTAAATGTGAAATATTCAACATCATTATTAATCAGAATATCACTGAATACCAATTTTGGACCTCTTCCCAAATCCTTACTTGTTGTTGATTTTTTTCTACCTTTGTCAAACACTTAAGATTTTTCTTAAATGAAAAAAGAAGTGTTTGTTTCATAAAGTAAAAATGTATGGGGGCAGCTAGGTGGCACAGTGGATAGAGCACCGGCCCTGAAGTCAGGAGGACCTGAGTTCAAATCCAGCCTCAGACCAAACACTTGACACGTACTAGCTGTGTGACCTTGGGCAAATCACTTAACCCCAATTGCCTTACCAAAAAAAAAAAAATGTATGGCCTATCAAATTAATACTTAGACACCCATCCCACTCCTTGAAACCTTGATTAGTTTTTAAAGACTCATTTCTTACAATGCCCCCGTGAGAAAGACTCTTAAAAATTTTAAAGAACCAGGCAGAAAAGCTGCTTCTAATGCTCCATCCTAGGAGAGAACTAGAGATTTGACAGACCGACATGAAATGTACAGCTCTTTTCTTTCAATCTCTGGGAATGATCTCTTGCAGTGTCCGTCTAAGGTGGGGGGAAGGGGAAAGGAAGGAGTGAGAAAGCTTTGGCCCAAGACACTGATAGGATGGATTTCTTACTCTAAGCTCTAGAGACATGAAGCAACCCTTGGATTGCATAATGGAATACAATTTCTCTTTTCTGCATTAACCTTAAAAGACTTTGAAATTAAAGACTTGAATTTGGTGATAACTGTTAATTCATTTCCTCAGCCAGGTATTGTCGGTATTCAGAAAACAAAAACTTGATAGTTATAGGCAATTAGATAATTTTGGCCTTGCCTTCTTCAACTTCTCACCTTTGGCCCAGAAATATTTTTGTTCACAGGCCAGTTTCCATAGCCACCCTCTGTCTTTGTACTCGGTGGCATTCTGGGAATGGTGACTTATGGCAGCTTTGTGAAGAGGGAACACGTAGAAGTTCCCTTAATAATTTCTTAATCTATTGATCAGAAAATAATTTTCTAGCTTGGCATTTTCCAAAATCATGGAGGAGACAGCTCTATTATGTGAGTTGTCTTTTTTTTTTTTTCTTTTTTTTTTTTTTTTTTTTGGTGAGGATTCTTTTAGGCAAAGTCAGGAATAAAAGATTATCATTTCTATTCCCTCTCTGTTCACAACAGGCTTAAAACCTTAATGTCCTCCTTGACTTCTTCCTTTCCTTCACTCATCCAGTTTGTTACTAAGACTTATAAAATTTCTTCTCTACAACATCTTTTGAAATCAATTATTTTTGAAGGAACTGGGGTTAAATGACTTGCCCAGGGTTACACCGATGGTAAGTTTCTGAGGCTGTGTTTGAACTCAGGTCCTCCTGACTCTAAGGTCAGTGCTCTATTCACTGTTGTCAGTTTTGTATAAATTGTTCTGGTTCTACTCACTTCAGTCTGTATCAGTTCATACAAGTCTTCTCAGGCTTCTCTGAAACCATCCCTTTTAGATTGTAAGGTCCTTAAGGGCAGGGACTGGTGTTTTGGGTTTTTTTTTGCCTCATTTTGTATTCCCAGTGCTTAGCATGATCACTGGCATCTAGTAAATACTTAATAAATGTTTGTTGATTGATTCATTATTTCCTGTGGCACAATAGTATTCCATCACATTCATATACCATAATTTTGTTTAGCCATTTCCCGATTGATACGCACACAATTTTTTCTTTCATCTGTCCCTTCTGCTTGTTTCCCGCTGCCATCACTGCCAAGTACCTCTCATCTGGACTGTTGCAGTAAAAATGGTCTTCCCTACCTCTAATTTCTCCTTCCTCCCATTTATGCTTAAGCTTTCAGATTACGTCTTCTAAAGTGCAACCTTGATCATATCACCCCCTTCTGTTCAAAACCTTTAGTTCTTAGCCATGAAAGATTAAATAATGTTTAAATGACTTAGCCTGTCACTGAAACCCTCCATGATTTGGTCCCCTAATCTGCCTTTCCAGCCTTCCTGATGCTGTTTTAGGACTGTTCTTTGCTCTAGACAAACCTGATTACTTTCTGGTCCTCTCCCCTTCCCTCTCCCCCAAACCACTGCCTTGAGTTTTCTTTATTCCATGCTTTTGCTCATGCTGTCCCCTCTGCCTGGGATACTCCCTCGAATCACCACCCCTCTATCCACCTACCTACCCATACTAGAAGTAATCTTTCTCCCCTCTGGATTTTCATAGTATTTTTTCAAGCAGTCAGTCAGAGGTCATTTATTGAGCACTCACTCTGTGCCAGCGCCAGGGATACAAATAAAAATAAAAACAGCCTCTCCCTCATGGAATTAACATTCCTATTGAACCTTTATATTCTCTTGTAATAGAATATTTTATTATTCTATTTATTCTATTTTATATATAATAAATATTTTATTATAGTTTTATTATAGTTATTGATGCATTTCTGCATTACAAACTTTTATAAATTCCTTCATGGTAAGGAATAGCTTTTCATCCTCCACAGTACCCAACTCTATGCCTTTCATACTGTGATTGCTCAGTAATTGGTTGAACACATTATGCTAATTAGAACTTCCAGGGAAGTTTGGCCATCCTTAATAGAACAAAAGTGGGCAACTAACCTCCACAAACAATTTCTCTTTCCTTAAGCAGGATTTTTTAGCGTTGGTTTCAAGTGAATACCTTGACCACAGTTTCTCCTTATCCAATAATGAGTTGGAAATTCCCACATTTGGAGACCTGGCTTTAAGATTATTGTCTAGGCATTTTTGTTCTGCCCCTAAGGAAGATATAATACAGTTGGAAATTGTAAATTTTGCAAATGCAACTTTTCTCATTTCATTATCCTTGCCTTTTTACATCATACATCTCATGTAAGCGGGCTCTTTGTATGTGATGATAAAGCTGCAGCAAATGGGACATCAGGAGTTGAGTTCAAGCACCTTTGACACTTAGGGTACTATGTACATAGAATGAGTCAAACACTTCCCACACCCTCCACTCCTCTTGCCCTACCAGAGATATCTAGGGGAGCTGCTAAATTCATCTTTGGCAGATGGACATGAAGAGAAGTGCTATGGTCTCCCCGACTTGAATTTTACAGGATATTTAATTGAAACACCCAGAAGGAAGGCTTACAAAGGAATTATTGTCTTTGGGACTCATGTTTGCCTTTTTTCTCCTCTAGGTTGGGTCTCATCATCTGAAACTTAACCGAGGTCTAGAAGCAAATGCCCCTGCTTTTGACAGGTAGGATTTTTTTTTTTTAATCGCATTGTCTTTTAGCAAAATCAGTCACTAATCCTTTTCATTCAGAAAGACAGTGACTCAGTGAATACAGCATTGGACTATGTGCCTTGAATCAGAATTTATTACTGAGTCAGAGGGACACTTTGAGTAGTTTGTTATTTTTGTGACTCAGTTTTCATTTTTTGCAAAATGACTGTTTTATTTGCCAAAGGATTGCCTAGACGGCAGAAGATAATGATAAAGTAGTACTTTGCAAATACTAGTATATGCTTTCTAATGGGTAAAGTCTCACCCATATGGACTAATTAAAGAAAAAGACAATCTAAATTATAGGAATTATGCCTTAAGGAAATGGAGTTTTAGAGCTAGCTACGTGGGGAAATATCTAACAAAAACACACATTTAGAGCCTCCTCTGTGTAAGATATTGTGGCAGGTACTGAGTATCTCAAGAGGAAGAGGCCTATTTCACAAAATCTGCTTAAGGATCAGCATTTTATATTTTCAGTATCTTTTTGTGACCTTTTAAATTCTCTAGTTCTTGGTACTGCTCTGATAAATTTGTGTGGGGTCTTCAGCCAGAATGAACAATCTTTCTTCTGCTACAGACATTTATGAGTGTACTTGTTAATGGTAATCAAACTTCCCTCATTCATGACTTTATTTATTTATTTGTTAGCAGTTGCTATTGAAAGTGTAGCTCATATTAAGAGTTTTCTAAATGTCCTATTTTCCCTTTAGGGTATGAAATGTAAGATTGTCATTTTCTTTATGGAAGCAATTTTATAGCACTATTCATTTAAATCCTTGCTATGTTGTGTTGTTCCTCATTTTAAATTAACATTTTATAAGTGGAATAGTGAGGAATTTGCCTTAATTGATCCCATTGGTAACAGATCAGTGCCGATTTCATGTAAACTGTTAAACAAAAGCCCTACAATTTTTTGAAGAGAGCTAAACAAATATCAGCATTCTCACAGGGAAGCTTGGACTTTTAATAAGAAACATTTCATCCTATCAGCATTGCACTTGGAGTTATGAAGACCTGGGTGGGCTCAAATCCTCACCACAGACACATTACCTTTATGACTTTAGGAAAATCTCGTAACCTCCCTGGATCTCAGTTTCCCTATCAGTAAAATGGGGAGGTTTGACTCAGTACTATCCACAGTCCCTTCCAACTCTGAATCTATGATATTCTCAAATTTCTGGAGGAGTTGTGCTGTTCCTTATGTCTTCATCTTTCATTTGGAATGGTACAGACCTTACTAAGCATATTGCAACAAGATGTCCCCAGATTTACTCTTTGCTGTGGTGTGACCAGGATCTGTTAATTTTTCAATCTTTTGATGTTTTTAGTGCTGACAACAGAATTTTTAAAAATCTGTGCTGATTTGGAGAGTATTTTTTTTTTAAATCTCTTTTGAAGTTCACATGACCAAACTCTTGGTTTTTGTGTGTGTGTTCCATATATGTTGATATTTTGATTCATGCCAACATATTGAGGCTTTGAGAATAGGCCTACGCTGCCAAAAGAAAATTTAAAAGGTGTGGGGGCTGGGGAATGTTTTGCTAAAAAGGCCACCAGAGTTATTGAATTATGTTGAGTTTTTTTTTTTGTTGTTTTGTTTGGTTTTGTTTTTTTTTTCGTGGCAAGGGAAAGGTTGTTACTAGGGTTTGGTATGAGTTATGAAAGGGCTAAACCTGGTTATATTCACATATTTAACCTTTATTCTGTTTAGCTCATTTTATTCCTTTAATTTCAATTCCTCAGTTGGAAGGCAGCAAGCATTGCCTAGTAGAAAGAATAATACATTAGGAAACAGTGTCTATGCTTTCATATTCCTAGTCTGTACCTTATTAACTGCATGACCGTAGGCAAATCCCTTAATCTCTCAGAGTCTGGGTTTCTTCATCTGTAAAATGAGGATAAGATCATCTGCCTTGGCTGCTGCAAATGGTTGCCATGAGGACCAGAAGAGGTGTGTGTATGTGGAAATGCTTTGAAAGTCATTGCCTCAGTGTCTTTTAGGTCTGGATACTAGAATATGTATTTAGCTGTTGATCATGCTAATTATGCCCTAGTGCATAGAACAGAAACATGACTGATAAGCGTTCCCTAAAATCTCCAGGTCCACTAAACAACTTTATATAACCAAGTTACACACACAGTGCTGTCCCTCATCCTCCCAAAGAAAAAATCTGAACACCAATGCCGTTTGCAAGGAAGGAAGGAAAGAAGGAAAGGAAAAAGGAAGGAAAGAAGAAAGGGAGGAAGGAAGGTCTATTTAACTATGACTTGCTTTGCAGTCATTTGTACTCTCTGAAGTGCTCCAGAGTAAAGGAAGCATTTATTTTTTTCCTATGGGTATAAAAATGTTCCTGACAATGTTATTAAATTTTCAATTGCTATTTTTTACAAAAGAAAGCTAATGGTAAAGGACAAAGAACATATCTATTTTAATACCTTAGTAGCTGACTGTTTTCATTGTCTGGTTGAAAGTTTCACTGGTACCTTTTTTTTGGCTAAATTCAGTACTTTTCTAGATTATAGGGATAGGGTCCTGAACTGATGAATTCATTGATATAGGGAACTGCTATTGGTGTAAGCAACTCCCAGGTAAGGAGATTGCCTCAACCAATGCAGCTTGTCCTACTCTAGAGCACCGAAAGGAGAGGTGAGGTCCCGGTCCTGGGGTCATGCACATAGGATGGATCAGAGGCAGAATTTGAATTCAACTCTGTCTTGCTTCAAGATCAGCTCTCTATCCACTTTATCAGGCTTCTTCACCTCTTTTGTGTTATGGACTTCTTAAGCAGTCTGCTGAAGCTTGTGGACCCCTTCTCAAAATAATGGTTTTTGCCAACATTCATCATGGAAGGAAGTGTGTAAAATTTTAGTTAGAGGTTAGTGAAAATAGAGCTGTAAGTTTTTTTTTTTCTAATTCAAATTCACTGACTCTCAAAAATCTATCTATGGGCTCTGTGGACCCCAGGTTAAAAACCCATTCTATAGACCATGCTGCCTCTCTTCCTTGGAGATGGTGAATCTAAAGCAGAATCAGACTCCTTAAACTTGTGGATTATAGTCTTTTTTTCTCTCTCCACTTTCTAAATTGAGAAGAATGCATACATCAGGCAGGATAAGTGATAGGACTTCAATTTGAAAAGATTTCAATGCTGATCTAATTTTGTGTTCATAACACCAGTAATGGGGGATGGAAGTATGAGCTCGGCATTTATGGCATTACTAGTCATTAAGAGTCAAGGCAACGACTTCTACTTCACTCGAAAATGTTTAGTAAATTAGTGGTACCAATTTTAAAAAAACAAAAAAGCCCCCACTAATATCAAGTCTAATCACCCACCAGTTACCGTACCGTGTGGTGATGTAGTTAAGGTAGTATTTTTTAAAAATTAGATTTGGTACACTTTTTTACAAATATGGCGTACGTGTTCTAGAGTGAAATGGAGCCCAGTAACACTGAGAGTTGCTTTGAGGAGCTTGTTGGCCCTCACTGGACCCTCTCTTCCCACCTTGGGCCTTGGGGGATGTCCACTGTCCGGGAGCACTCTTGCTCTGCAACCCCAGGAAAGCAGTGCCCCGCCAGGGCAGTCAGTCTCGTTTCATTGGTGAAATGGCATCGTCATGCTGCTGCTGCTACTGCTCTTACAGGCATATGATGCTTCTGAAAGAGCAGTATGGAAAGCAAGTGATCGTTAACCTGTTGGGAAGCAGAGGAGGAGAGGAGGTGCTCAACAGAGCCTTCAAGGTAAAACTTTTGCTCAGCTGCTGGCTTCTCAAGGCCTCCCCTTCTGCTCCTCCAAACTGCGGGGCTCGAGTGGGTGGGTGGGATCAGGCAAAGGGATTTGGCAGGCAGCCCTCCAGTTCAGGTGGTGGGAACAAGACTTCCAACAAGGTAGGTGGTTTTATCCCTTGGATTTGACCTCTCTCCCATGAGTCTGGGAAGAGGTAACTCTTATCTAACGATCCATTTATCAAGCATTTATTAAGCTGCTGGGCACTGTGCCGTGCAAAGATGGGCTAAACTAGGAATGCAGAGACAAAAATGAAAGCATCCGTAACTCGGGGTGGGAATGATTTTGTTTTGTGAGTTTCTCCACAATGTATATTTTTCCAGAATACAATAAATGGCTCTGTAATCTCAAACTTTAATTTTTTTTCCCCAGAGGCTTAGTGAAACCTGAGCTGATTTATGTTTCTGTAGATGGGACCCAAAGCAGCTTATAATATACATTGCTATGTATTCTCTTAATAGTTCTCTCTCCAGTCAACTAATGTATTTAAACTAAACTTTTCTGAACTGATATCACAAGAGAGCCTTTCCCTGTCTCCAGTTTCACCCTTAGCCAGGTCACCCAGCTAGAGGTGACAGTGTCCTTCCCACTGCTTCCTCACAGAGTCATTTTCCAAAATAAAAATCCCAAGAGAGAGAGTGGGGGGGAAAGGAAGATGTCAATCTGCACGTTGGCCTCTCTTCCAGTGTGCTGGGGAATGCCTCACTGTTCTCTCCTTCTGTTAGGCGGCTTATGTCCCACCTTCAACAGTGCGGCTGTTTTTCTTCTTTCGTCTTCTGGGCCAGTCCATGATAGCCCCATCCCTTGACAGTTATTAAGTGTGTATTTGTGACTTTCAGATAGTCCACCTTGGCTTGGCTCTGCAATAAAGTTAAATGACATACTTGCCTATTGCTCTCTGCAGCTCTAAAACCTTCACACTTACCCCGTGCCTAACAAACATCTTTTTGTCACTGGTCCCTGGACTGGTGGTGCTTCTCTCGTGCAAAGATATCTTGGGCTGCTAACGCTTCATTTTCAGGACAGACAAGAGAAGGCAGCCTAGGATAAGCCACATTATGTGACTATGACAGATGAGTTCCCTCCTCTTAACCCCCTGCTTTCTATTGGCATAAGATGAAGATCAAGACCTTTTGTCCCTTATATCCTCAAGAGGCTGTTGTGGTCCTTGGAGGAAAAGGAATGCCTAAAGATTGTTAGTTACTGTCTGACTGTCTATTACTGCCCTACAACCTTCCCCTCCAGTTATAGGATCATAGGATTTAAAAGTTGGAAGGGACTCTTATGTTCATCTAGTTCCACTACCTTATTTTACAGGTGAAGAAACTGAGGCCCTTACAGGTAGCAAGTAGCCAGGCTCGGACTTGAACCCAGACCCTTTAACTTAAATGTGCTCTTTTCAGTCCCACCACACAGCTTCCTCAACTGCTGCTTGTAGATATTTCTTCTCTAGAGAAGAAAAATCCAGGGCTTATAATCCAAAGACAAATCGTTGTTGACCCGAGCAGAAAGCTTTTTACAGCGAAAAGATAGACAATAAATCTCTCTTAGGGAGTGGAAGAAAGATAGAGCTCTAAGGAAACCACAGGCATCAGAACATCTGGGGAGCAGGAGCAGAGTCCAGGCTGAATGCTCGCCTTGGTTTGTTTGCAAACTCCATGCCTGACAGCTGACTGTGTTATTAGTACTAGCCTGGGAGTGGGGTAACCCAAGTTCAAGTTTACTAGCTGTATGACCGAGGCAAATTCCTTAATTTATTTGAGCCTCAGTTTCTTCACCTGTAAAATGAGGGGGGTGGATTAAGTGATTTCTAAGATCTCGTCCAGCTCTAATGTTCTGTGAATTCTATGGTGAAGAGAGTTTCTGGTGGCCAATTGTCTTTGGCCAGACCTGCTTTTCCTGTCTGGTTTGTTGCTAACAGCAACAAATGAGCTAGTTTTTTTTTTCTCTTCCTTTTTTTATTGGCAATACTACTTTTATAGAAGAAGGAAAAAAAAATCAGCCCATCCTTTTTTTTTTCTTTTCCTCCCACATGGAAAGTGGTGGTATTTTTGACCCACGGCATTTATCAGCTGGTAAAAGTATTCCTCAGATCCAAGGATGTCCAGACACCAGTCCTCTTCAGATATCAACCCTCCTTTTAGTAAAGGTTGAGTGAGAGGGAGGTAGAAATGTTGTAGAGGGCCCAATATTGGATAATGAAGGTGCTGATGCAATGCTGTACCAAAAACACTAGTCTAGGGGTCAGGAGGACGTGGGTTGTTGTCTCCACTTTGCTAATAATTAGGTGTGGGCCCCCTTAGCTCAGGCAATTTGCCTCTCCCCAAGCCTCATTTTCTTCATCTGTAAAATGAAGGATTGAATCAGTAATTCTCCAAGGTACCTTTCAGCTCTGACTTTCTATAATTCCTCGACTGGCCAAATGCTAAATATTAGCCTGTCATGGAGACGTACAAGGTGGAGAGGAAGGCCCCAGTGGCCTAGGGGTCATACGTGAGCTTCTTGTCATCCTAGGTCCGTGGCTACTTAGCACAGCCTATCCATTTGCTATGAGTCAGTGTGTTTGGACAGTGGGAGCTGGGCTAGGAAACGGAGGTGGTGTATGAGGAATGTTAGGGCTCGAGGTCCTTGACTAGGACCTGACCTGTTGCTATCGCCACCTGCACTGCCGTCCCAACTGTCCCACCTCTTCCTGTTGGACCACCCCTCTTGGGTTGTCATTGTGTGACCGCCTCCCAGAGCTAGCCAGAGGGTAACTAGGACTTTCAGCTCCACAATGTACAGAGACGCTCATCACACTTCCTTCTTAAGTCAAGATGTGAATGGTTCCCAAGGAAACAGCTGTTATGAATAGAGCTGCAACTCTTCTTTACTTGGTGGACCTGCAGCCCTTGTGCTATTTGAAGACTAGAGCGATAACTCCCTTTCTCGCTTACTTTATGTATTGCCATAGAGATGTGGGGGAGGACGTGATGTGGGCTGCAGATGGTGGCCGAGGGAGGGGCGAGTGTCGCAACTGGCTTTGCCTCTTTCTTGCTTTAAATGATCCCTTTGCCCTCTTTCAGGAAGTGTGCTTTTCCTGTGCTGTTGTCTTTTTCTCTGATATTTTCCTTCTGTACTTCCTTCTCAAGATCTGGACTGATAAACTACTGTGTCTGTCATGAGCTTTAAGACTAGCCTAATCTAACCAATGAAAACTCTGAGCGGTGAATGGAAATATGCAGTCATCTCTCTCCCCTCCACTTCCCTTCCTCAGAAGTTGCTTTGGGCCTCTTTCCATGTTGGAGACACACCTATGATAAATTTTGACTTCCATCAGTTTGCCAAAGGAGGGAAGATAGAAAAATTGGAGAATCTGTTGAGGCCCCAACTAAAGTTGCACTGGGATGAATTTGATGTTTTCGCCAAGGGCGAGAATGTGAGTCCACGGTAAGTGTTCCAGTGTTTGCTTGATTTTTATAGGTTGGGAAGTAGATTTATAGCTAGAGATTATTGACATCCTGTTCACCTTGTAGCAAGACCCTTTTGGTCTCCTGGGCCATTTGCTTTCAAAACGGTTTCCTTCTCCATACCAATTGTATTGCCTAGAATTTGGTGTGGTACCACAAGCACAATTTTGGGTTCCAGTTTTCTCTTTTAGCCTCTGCATGACTTAAAAAAAGAAGTGAAGAAGAACAGAAAAAGAGGATTACATATGAAATCATGAATTTCTATCACATACAGCTTTGTAGGGTTTTTAAAAAGTCTATAACACATTTAATTCAATAGCAAATGGCCAGCTTTTTGATAGATGTGTACTTTTGATTTGCAAGTGTTGAATCATGGATAGTCTGACCCCAATTCCGACATTTGGCGGAACAGGTTTAGCAATTAGAGTTCATTAGATTAAAGCACAGGGCTGAATCCAGCACTGTTCTCTTCAGTAAGGAATGAAAATCTTCCTTTCTAGAAAACCCAAGTTTTGACCCATTCTGTAGAATCAGTTGTTAATTCATATGCCTTAGCTATTACTCAAGTGTATCAGTAGGCCTTACTGGAATGCTTTCCAAGAGTCTGGTTTGGGATGATGGGGCTGCAGGGGATTGTCTTCCCCCCACCATTCAAATTTAGGACACTTTGCCAAGTGTGTTGCTGCTATAAACTGAACTTGGTAACCATTGTGGTTTGGTTTTTTTTTCATCATTTGTTCAAAGTTTCCAGAAAGGTACCTTGCGAATGAACTGTCTGGACTGCTTGGATCGGACGAACACTGTACAGTGCTTTATCGCCCTTGAGGTCAGTCTCCTGTTGTTACAAAATTTTGTACTGTGTGTATGTGTGCGTGTGCGTGTGTGTGTGTGTTTTGTTTCTAGCCAAAAGGCAGCCTTTCTTGGGCTCCTTGGGACCAGAGTAAAGGTAAGCCGATGTAGCGGGTTCTTTGGCTAACTGGTAGGGGTGGGGTGAGGTAAGTGGTGGGAGAAGGGACTGATGATACTTAAAGAGAGGAACTTCTGTGTCATCTGTGAATTGGAGGCTAGTCCTACGTCAGTTTGTGGTTTTACTGCTGTCTCTTATCTATCTATCTATCTTTTTTCTTTCTTCCTTCTTTTTCTTTCCTCTGAACAAACCAAATAACATGGGAATTTCCATACATCTAGTAGTACAGAAAGAGATTTGTAAATTAATCTCTATTATGTACAACTTGCTTTTGTCTTAAAATATATTCTGAATTCAACATGTAACTTTCAAAGCTACCCTGCTCATCCCTGATTATTTTTGGCCTGTTTTTTCAGTTCTCTTCTGAGCGTTTAAAAAACAAAACAAAACATGTTTCACTAATCCTTTTTTCTTTCTTTTCTTTCTTTTTTTTTTGGCTACCCTATCTCTGCCCCACTTGCCCTTTCTCTCTCTCCCTTCCCCCAGTTGAGGAAAAAGAAAAAAAGAAGAACAAAACAGATGCATTGTAACACATGCATAGTCGAACAAAATAAATTCCCACGTGGGTTCTGTCTGCAAAGGCATGTCTTATTCTACACTTTGAGCCTAGCACCTCTCAGTTGCAGTCACTTTCAAATGGACTTGAGAACCAATAACTGGTTAAGCTTTTATTTTGTTGAGTTCTGTCAAGCAGAGGAAATATGTCTGCCTAAGTTGACCAAATATCCTGGAACCAGAAAACTGGAATCTTTTGTCTGTTTCATTCCACCCACATAAATGTGACCTTGGTCAAATTGTCAAGAATAGAGTTTGTTATTTTCCCTCTAAACCTATTCTCCTTTCTGACTAAACTTCCTGTTTATGGCTCTGCCATTTTCTAGGCTTCCATGTTTGAAATTTTATTATTGCCTTTCTTTTCCCCCACCTGCCTTAGTTACCAAGTCCTGTTGATTCCACTTTCCAAATCTCTTTCACATCTACTGTCCTCCTCAATTTCTGACACTCCCACCCAGCCAGACTGTTTCATCAGCCTTGTAACTGTTCTTTCCTATCTCCCCTCCTTCATATCATTGCCAGTCTCATCTTCTCCATGGATAGTTTGGGGTCACGTCAAACTTTTGCAAGAATCATCAGTGGTTTGCTATTACCTACCAAATAAATTTCAAAATCGTCTGACATTCAAGGATCACCCCAGTTTGGCAGCACCCTGCCTTTCCAGCCTTGTCTCATGCTACTCCCTTCCATATATTTTGTGTTCTAATCAGACCCAACCATTCTGTCTCACAAATACACCTTATGCTTGCCTGCACCTTTGATGCCTAACCCTAACCTTTCCCACCTGTTGAATTCTTTGTTGTTATTGAGTTGTTACAGTCTTGTCTGACTCTCTGTGACCCTATTTGGGGTTTTCTTGGCAAAGATACTGGAGTGGTTTGCCATTTCTTTCTCCAGCTTATTTTACAGTTGAGGAAATGGAGGCAAACAGAATTAGGTGACTTACCCAGGGTCACACAACTAAGCTAGTAAGTGTCTGAGGCTGGATTTGAACTTGGGTCTTCCTGACTCCAGGCTAGACATTCTGTCTACTATAATACCTAGCTCCCTATCCTTTAAAGTTCAACTCAGGCTACCATCTCTATGAAGTTTCCCTGATGCCTTCTGCAAGTAACGACCTCCCTGCTCAGACCTTATATTACAAAAAAGTCCTATCGATTCCACTTCCTGAACCTTTCTTGTTCTTCCTTCCTGTGTTAGAGTTATCTATGTACATGCATGATGAGTGAAAGGACCATTTGTTATCTAAAATGTGTGTATCTCCTAACCCCTCAAGCAATGCTCTGCCTACAATAGGCACTTAATAAATATTTGCTGAATCTCATTGAAACCCAACCCTTATTCTCTTTTGATTCATTTCTCATTAAGGTTCTTCACTTACAACTGGAGAGCCTGGGACTGAATTCAAAGCCAGTCACTGAACGCTTTGTGGAGTCATACAAAGCCATGTGGTCTCTTAACGGTCACAACCTGAGCAAAGTCTTTACAGGCAGCCGGGCACTGGAAGGAAAGGCCAAGGTAAGAAGTGGTCTCAGAGCTCAGCAGGACCATGCTTTTAGTGAGTACAAAGCCTGCAGGGAATACATTGCATGTCTCCTCAGGGCACTTGTTTGTTGGCAGGTCGGGAAACTCAAGGATGGGGCCCGGTCTGTATCTAGAACCATCCAGTCCAATTTCTTTGATGGAGTGAAGCAAGAAGCCATCAAATTGCTGCTGGTTGGTGATGTCTACAAGGACGAGTATGCTGACAAAGGGAGGATGCTTATGGACAGCACAGCCCTCTTAGGTAACCGGTCACTTGCCTTCCTACATATATATGCAGATGGTGACCCAACCTAAGGAAAGTATTTACCTTTGAATTCTTTCCCCAGCATTACTAATGATTGGTCCTGCCCTGTCCCTACCCTCTCATTCAGTTCTCCTTGTGACTAAATGAAATGGTTGGTAAGGGTTAAATCACAACTTAATCCTTACGACAAATGGAGGATAGTAAACAAAACCAACCAAAGATTCCAGATGCAGAATGAGACTGGGCCAATGTGGAAATTTGTTTTGTTTAACTATGCAGATTTGTTACCAGGGTTTTCATTTTCTTTTTAAAAATTTCAAGTTCCAAATTCTCTCCCTCCCCACCCCCCTTAATTGAGAAGGCAAGCAATTCCATATAGGTTATACATGTGTAGTCATGCAAAACATTTCCATATTAGTCCTGTTGTAAAAGAAAACATAGACCAAAATAAAAACCCAAGAAAAATAAAGTAAAATGTATACTTTGATCTGTATTCAGGCTCCATCAGTTCTTTGCAGCTTTACTGTCTTACAAGATTATCTGGGGGCAAGGACAGTTTTATTGACTTGCCCAATTGTATACACAGCCATCTTGTTTCAGAGGCAGGATTTGAACCCATATCTTTTTTTTTTTTGCCATATCTTTTTTTTTTTTAAGGCAATAGGGGTTAAGTGACTTGCCCAGGGTCACACAGCTAGTAAGTGTCAAGTGTTTGGTCTGAGGCTGGATTTGAACTCAGGTCCTCCTGACTTCAGGGCCAGTGCTCTATCCACTACACCACCTAGCTGCCCCATCCAAAGTCAGCTTTGGCATGTTACACCACACTGCTTCCCCTAAAATAAATAAAAGGATATAAGCATGCCTCTAAAATCCTGGATTCTTCTAACTAGGATAATTAATAGCTTCCTGAAGCCCTCTTTATTGCTATTCTCTTAGTTTGGATTCCTTTGTTATATTGCAGAGACTAGAATATCTAATAGGACCTGTCTCTGTTCACGTGTTTTTTTTGGGTTTGGTTTTTGTTTATTTGTTTTTTAAGTTGAATTCTGTAAATGTAACTAATTAGGCATGTTTCCCTGAATCCATTATTTTTTTAAAATTTTTTTTCTTTTTTTCTTTTTCTTTTTTTTTGGCGAAGCAATTGGGGTTAAGTGACTTGTCCAGGGTCAGACAGCTGGTGCGTATCATGTGTCTGAGATCAGATTTGATCTCAGGTCCTCCGGACTCCAAGGCCAGTGCTCTATGCACTGCACCACCTAGCTGCCCCCCTGAATCCATTATTTCATGTGTTAAGATACGGAAGCCCTTTTCCACTCCTGTCCACACGTTAACTGTCAATCTTCACAGAGGATTTACTCAACGATTTGCCAGAGGGCTTTGTCTTGTCCTTTTCGAATTCTGGAAATACCAGAGCATCACGAGAATCCATTCTCAGTTGTCTTTAATGCTCCCTAGGCTGCTTCTACTCATCCCTACAAGTCTTTGATGATGCTTTCTCTTATCCAGCATTAATCAAAAGTATTTGTTAAGTACCGGCTATGGGCCAGGCAGGGTGCTACGCCCTAGGGAAACCAGGACAAAAGCAGGGAGGAGACAATGCATAAAAGGACAACACCAGTGGTGACCTGGGAGGCTAGCTTTCTTGGGAAGTCATGGGGATGGGGAGGAGAGCCAGAGGGGGAGTTGATCAGCAGGCCTTTTTCAGTAGCAATGGCAATGTTGATTTGACTTCTGTTCCAGAGTTGAAAAGCAGATTTAGGGGGTGGGATCTGGGGGGAAGAGGGAAGAGATGGTGACCTAGGGTGGAAGATGAAACATAACTGGAGGTGGAAACAGACTGAATGAATGAATGAGCATTTATTTAGCACTTAATATGTACAAAGTACTGTGCTATGAGCTAGGGATACAATATTGACAATGCTTGCTTTAAAGATACAATACATGATGCTGTACAATGGTCTACATGACACATTCACCAGTCAGGACAGGCCACCAGGCCAGTCGCCGGATGGGAGTTCCAGAGCTGAGAGGGTTAAGTCCCCCAGGGCCTGAACTTTGGTGTGGAGAGTGTTACATCTGGATAGTTGGCAAGGTCTTGTGGCCTATAAGATGGTGGCCATAGGGCTGGAATAGGCCATAAAAGACCTATAATCTGTGTCATTTTATAGATGAAGAAACACATTGAAACCACATGTCCTTGACTGCAGATCCATTGCTCATTCCATCGTGGCATGTTCCCTTTCTCGCAAACGCCCTTGGTAAACAGATTTCATTCATTTAGTGACTATTTGAGTACATGTGAACGGTTAGGCTTTTCATATCCTAAGATCACAAGATGTAGAGTTTCAAAGGAGCTTGAAAATCTTTGATCTCACATGAGGAAACTGAGGTACACGGAGGCTGAATGATTTATTCCATGTCAGATGGAATGTTGGTAGCAGGGCCAGGCTTTAAACTTTCAAACTTATGCCCTGTTCAGGGCATCTCTCTGGTCTGACGACTCTCTGTGACCCCATATGGGGTTTTCTTGGCAAAGGTACTGGAGTGGTTTGCCATTTCCTCCTCCAGCTCTTTGTACAGATGAGGAAACTGAGGCAGACAGGGTGAAGTGACAGCTAGTAAGTGTCTGAGACTGGATTTGAACTCAGTCTTCCTGACTCTAGGCCTGGTACTCTATGCACTATGGCACTACCTAGCTGCCTCTCACAGACTTGGACTAAGAACCAGGATATGTAGGTTCTGGTCCCCACTCTACCACTAACTGATCTGAGTTCAAAGCTTGTCTCCAAAATATACTGTATTTCCCTGGACAGATACTTTCACCTCTCAGTGCCCTAAAGGGACTCTCTCTAAGTTGGGGTGGGGGATGTGTGGAAAGGGTGCTAACCTGCTTTGGTAGAAGGAATTCCCTTTACAAATGAAATCACAGGCCCATTCCCTCTCCCATAATTTGTCTATGCCTCAAAAAAAATGTGATTTATTCATTCTTCCTCTTCTTGCTTCCCCCATCCCCCATCTAACCTCGTTTCCTAGTTTTCCTAGTTTCCTAACTTTGCTTTCAGAAGCCAAGACAATATTTGATTTCTACTCTGGGCACGATACCAGTGCAGTGAAGAAAGTTTTGAAAGCATCTCTAAGTAATTGTGCGTCTGTTGAGGTTTGTTTACTAACAAAGTAGAGATGATTTAATTTCTAGACTAACTCAGTCATAGGAGAAAGAAAATATTGTTGTCTAAAGAAGTTGATCTGTTAAGACTATTTTAAAGCTGGGGTCAAAGGCATGTAGGATATGGGGCAGCGAAAAAAACATTTTTGAAGGGGGATTTTCTCTTGGTGAGACTTTGAGATTTACACTCCTTCCAAAATGTGACTTGTGACCCATATTTTTGTGCTCTTTCTCCTGGTTAACTAAAGATTTCTCACGTTAGCTCTCCTCCATTGCCTTCGTCGTTTTTTGGACCTAGTGGTGAAGGCCAAGACCCAGACCTTTCCTGCTATCTTGCATTCATAATTCCTTAGTATCTGGTGTCATGGTTTCACCATATGCTTAATTTATAATGTCCCCAACAGGATCATGATCTCTTATAAATAAATAGATCACCTTGGAAAGGGCGGAACTCGGTTTTATTTCTCACAAATGGGATGAATGGAAGAGCTATAAGTGCATTCTGGATCCTTTCATCCAACTGAAGGAAATCCTAGGAAGCTGGAAGGGGTCTTAAAAATCATCCAGTGACTAGCTAACTTTTTAATTAATCATCTAGTGACTAGCTAGTTCCTTTATTTTTATAGATCTGTCAGTCAGGAATGGCAACTAGGTGGCATAGTAGATAGAGTGTGGGCCTGGAGTCAGGAAGACTCATCTTCCTGAATTCAAATGTGACCTCAGATACTTACTAGCTGTGTGACCCTGGGCAAGTCACTTAACCCTGTTTGCCTCAGTTTCCTCATCTGTCCAGTGAGCTGGAGAAGGAAATGGCAAACCACTCCACTATCTTTGCCAAGAAAACCCCAAAAGAGCTCATGAAGAGTTCAACACCACTGAATGACAACAGTAAACAAGCCTTTGTTAATTAAGCACCTGCTAACAAGCACTGTGTTAAGTGCTGGGGATGCAAAGAGCCCATATTCCAATAAGGAAGTCAGCAGTGAATAAATATTTATTAAGCTACTACTGTGTGCCAGGCACTGTGCTAAGTGCTGGGGATACAAAGAAAGGCAGAAGTCAGTCCTTGCCCTCGTGGCGCTCACAATTTAATAGGGGAAGCAACATGCAAAAACTGCATAGAAACACGATGTACACGGGATAATTGTTGAACAATGCAAAAAGATAGGCCAGATTTTAAAATCAGACATAGGACTGACTCTAGATTTCTTTAGCTTTGGCTTAGATGATGGAACATGAAAATCATTTAGGTTTTTCAAGGAAGTTCAATTACCATACCCTAAAAGAAAGAAGGGAAAATAAAAGTGAAAGAAAACAAGGGCAGAGAGTGTTTTCAGCCTAGAAATGGTGCCTGCCTCTTCATCCCTTCTCACCGTCTCTTGCCCATTTCCAGTAGCCACCATTGGGATGGCAAACTTCAGCCACCTAACAGCTCAGTTATTAGTTATATGAATGTTCTATCGATCATGTTCAGATATCAGATTTGTCACATACCATTAATCTGTTGGATTGTTTTTTAAAAAAAGCTTTTGAATTTATTATTTTTTCAATTAACAAGCATTTATTTTTCTCCTTCCCCTCCCATACTGGGGGAAAAAAAAGAGAAAAGAAAATGAAAACCCTGGTAACAAATCTGCATAGTTAAACAAAACAAATTTCCACATTGGCCCAGTCTCATTCTGCATCTGGAATCCATCTCTTTTCTATCCAGAGGCGGTTAATGTGCTCCATCATTGGTCCTCTGGTGAAACACATCCTCTCACAATTAAAACAGAGCTTCAGGTTGGAGAACTCTCAAGTGCTGAGGTCATGAATATAAGTGACTTCCTCCTTAACATATTCTCTATCCCTTAAATATTTGGCACAATTGGGAAAAAAGAAAACAAAACTCCTTAAGAAGACTCCTTCACTGAATTCTCTTCAGCCAATTAAGAATATGTTCTCTTCATATACAATATAAGAATTTTGGTATTTGAGGTCCATAAACGCAAGGTGAAGGCTCTATTTGCCAACACTTGCCTGGTCTCGGGGCAGCGTGTAACAGGCCAACGAGGGCTGACTTTGCAGACAAGGACCTAGGTTCAAGTCCCTTCTCTAATAACTGGCTGTGTTACTCTGGGTAAATCAATGAACCTCTCTGTGACCTAGGTAACTCTCTAAGAGTTTAAGTTGCAGAGAATGTGCTGACCTGTATGGATACAGGGAGTTTTTTCAATGGGGGAGCTCCCCTACACCCATGAAATCCCCAGTCTGGTTAAAAAAAAATTACTATGGCTATACCATTTATGTAGCACTTTAAGATTAGTAAAGCTCTTTGAACATATTATCACCTTTAATTCTTATAACAATTCTGTCAGGTGTTTGCTATTATCCCTTTTTTATAGATGAGGAAACTGAGGAACAGAACAGGTCAGTGACTTGCCTAGCCTCACACAGATAGTAAGTATCTGAGGCAGGATTTGTAGCCACGTTATCCTGACTCCAATATCCAGTACAGTGAATGTTAATAAAAGTAGATCATTAATATCTGACCATACTAAGAAAATCCTTCTTAAAAATACACCACAGTTTTGTGTACTAGATGATCTCTTGGGAGGTTTCCAGGAAAGGCACGTGCATACATATATTCCACTTTCATTGAGCCCTGGTGATTTTGCTGGTGGGATCGTTTTCTAGTCCTGAGTTTCTATGACATCAGCTGGAGAAAATTCTTAATGGTACCGTTAAAGTGGAAAAAATATAATAGTCTTTATACTTTCCAAGGTAGCTTCCCCATAATTTTTTATAAAATTCTTTTGTGTAAGCAAACATCAACAAATATGAACATTTCACTATGCAAAAAATCAAAAAGAGGATTGTCTGTGGAACTGAGCACTTTTGTTATATACAGGCTTTTTAGTGCAAATTCAGTTGAACACAGTAGTAACAAAACAGCCCTGTCTGTGGCCCCTTCTGAATATCCCCTCCTCTCTTCCCTATATTTTTAAGATCTTTATTGATGGCTCTTTTTTCTCTTTTCTGATTTTTTTTGTATCAATATAACTACCCATTACATCCCCCTCCCTCCTCACAGGAAGACCTTTCCAGTAACAGATATAGTCAAACAAAGCATATCAATCTACTGGCCACAACTGAAAATGTATGTCTCACTCAGCACCACTAGTCTGTTATCTCTCTTTAAGAGATGGAAGCATGAAAAGTTTCATTATCAGTCTGTGAAGTCATCATGACTGGTCATTGCATTGATCAGAGTTCTGAAGTCTTTCAAAGCTGTTTTCCTTTACATTACCATAGTCATATAAATTGTTCTCCTGGTTCTGGTCTCTTTGTTCTATTCAGCTCATACAAGTCCTTCCAGGATTCTCTTAATTCTGTCCCTTTCATCATTTCTTATAGCCCAGTAATTTTCCATTACATTCACATACATAATTTGTTCATCTCTTCTCCATTTGATCTATGTCCATTTTGGTTCCGGTTCTTTGCTACAGTAGAAAATGCTGCCATAAATATTTTGGTATATTTGGATCCTTTCTTGTCTTTACTCCCTTTGTGGTCGAAGCTTAGTAGTTATATCATGGGGTCAAAGAGTATGCACAGTTTAGGGATTTTTTTTTTTTAATTATGGTTTCAGGTTGTTTTCCTTTCCCACCCTTTTCATAAGAATTGAATTTGGTTGAGGGTAATGCTATGATGACTTGATTTCTCTTTTATATTTTGTGGGTTTTGGATTGCACAAGATCGTTCTTTCCTTGCATATTGTTCACAGTGACTCCAAGGATCTTAAAAGCCATGTCAGAGCGTCAGTTAGAATTCACCAATTTCAAACGGATTCGGATTGCCATGGGAACCTGGAATGTAAATGGAGGAAAACAATTCAGAAGCAACCTTCTCGGCACTGGAGAATTAACTGACTGGCTGCTGGATTCTCCCAAGCTTTCAGGGGCGACTGAATTTCAAGGTAAGAACAGAGTACTGACCTGCCAGTTCCCTTAGTCGGCTGACGTAGCCCCCAGATCTGAGCTTTCTTGACAAGTTACTGCTGCTATAGAGTTTGGGATCTGGCATTTGAACTCTTCAGAATGTTTTAAAAATCTTGTTGTCATCTTAAGTTTCTCTCCTGCTTCCTCTTCTCCTGCCTTTTTTCACCCTCTTGTGCTATAATGGACAAACAGTAAATGTTGCCCTCTCTGGAAATTACCTTATGGTGATGGTTGAGAATTCAAATTAATCAAATTAACCAGATTTTTGCTAAAACAAGCAATAAGTATTTGCATTTCTCCAAAATTAAAATAATTCTAAATTGATAACACAGTTTGTCTTTTTGGTTGTTCCAACGACTTGTGGAAAGATTGAATTAGGAATCAGGGAATTCAAGCTCAGATCCCAGTCTTACTACTTTCTATTTACTTGATCTTGGACAAATCATGTGATGTTTCTGGGCCTCAGTTTCCTCATCTGTAAAATGAGGAAGTTAGACTACATCCAGGGATGTAGTCCAGGGTTTTGGCCTTATTGGTGTTGTGGACCTGCCTTTGGCAATCTGTCAAAGACTGGTGAAGGAACTCTTCTCAAAATAATGTTTTTAAATGCATAAAATAAAATACATAAAGGAAACCAATTTCATTGAAATACAGTTATCAAAATAAAAAAGTTCACAAACCCCAGATTAAAAATCTCTGGACTAAATGATCTCTAACAGCATTTTGCAGCTCTGAACCTATGACTCATTGCCTTGACATGCCAGTCCATAACCTAGAATCCATTTAGGAGTGGAGGAATGCATTTCTCCTTCCTCCCCAAACACCCTCTTACACCTCCCTCCTGAGAGGGTCCATTTTCAATTGCCTTTATAATTCTAGAAGAGGTTAGCAATATTACATTGCTATATTTTCGTGGATCCCATGAACATACTTGCCCTGTGGTTATTTACATTATAGACAGCTGCTTCCTTGGCAGCCTTTCAGGGCTTCATCACCAGCCCCATTCTTGAACTTTTGTACATACACAGTGTAAACCTGTTTCTTTTTTTTTTTCTTTTTTTGCGTGCAAAGGGGGACAGTTTGAGCTGGAAATATATAGGGAGTTGAAGTTACTTGAGTACTATATGTAAGTGGGAGTTTGTATGGGAGTAAATAATGTACCAGTAAATAATTTTGAATGTGTTGGAAAACAGAGCCCTACCAATGAGACTTTAGAACATCAAGTAGACGAAACCAGTTAGATTTTCACCGACAAACTCCCTCCCTAATACAATGAAATACTCTTTATTCTCCTCTAAGGTTATACTAAAATTGTTGCCTTTTATGGAATTGAAATCATTTTGAAGTAAGTAAAATCTCTCCAGTTTTCCTTCTGAAGCCTTGGTTTAAGAAAATGAAAGAAATGTTGGTTACTACTGCCAAGTCACTCTCTAAAGAAGTGGAAACTTTAAGCCAGTTAACTCCGTGACTGACCTGTTGGATGAATAAGCAGTTTAAAAAAAAAAGTATAGTAGGAGATAGTTGAGATCACTCTAGCAGAGATCTCCCCTACACACTTAAGAGTGACGTGGAAGAGGGAGGTGTGTTTTCTGCCAACAGACCAGGAGCCAGCTGCCTGATGTTGGAATGACATGAGCAGGCTGGATAAAGTTCAGTGAATTGCTGAAGGGCTTGTAATTGCCTCTTAATTGCTTTTGGCTCTGGAGAACAAGGATAGGATGGATAAATAAATCCATAGGACCCCCAAATCTCACCATCTGCCCCTTCTTTCCTCCTCCCTTCTATTTCTACCTTCCTTTTTCCTCTCTCCCACAAACCTGAGGTTTGTGAACTTATTATCTTGATAGCTATATTTCAGTGTAATTGGCTTCCTTTTTGTGTTTTTTCTTCTTTTTTCTTTTTCTTCTTTAAAAATTTTTTTTATTAATGCTTTTGGTATTTTTTTTTTCTGTTTTTTAAGCCTCTTTAGATTCACAATGAGTGTAGGGAACATTCTTTCCTAGTGAAGGACTACACTTGGTCTGCCACCTCTTTCTTGTCTTAAGAGAGTTGTCTGGTGTAGAAAAAGTTAAGTGACTTGCCTAGGGTCACACACAGCCGTGTTCAGAGGCAAAACATGAACTCAGGTTTTTCTGACACTGAGGCCAGCAGTATCTATTACATCATCCTGCCTCTCAATATAGAAGCATTGTTGTTCAATTGTGTCCAATTTTTTGTAACCCTATATGGGGTTTTCTTGGCACAGATACTGGAATGGTTTGCCATTTCCTTCTCTAGCTCATTTTAAAGATGAGGAAACTGAGGCAAACAGGGCTAAGTGACTTGTTCAGGGTCACATAGCCACCTAAGTGTCTGAGGCCAGATTTGAATTCTGGAAAATGAGTCTTCTTGACTTCAGGCCCAGCACTCTATCCACTTTGTTACCTAACTGCCCCTTGATAGAGAAGTACAGTAAAGAAAGACAAAATCAACACTTTGACTGTATCTGACAATACATGTATCATTCCACCTCTGTCAACCACTACCTCATTGCTGTGAGCCATACAAACAATAATTCCAATAGAGGTTTTTTGCCCAACCTTCTCAGAAGTAGCAGAATTGACTGATTTTTTTAGTTGCAGCACCTGTCTTTCTCTGTCCACCCTGATCATGTTTATCCTGGACTGTTGCTTTAGTAGAGAGGAAAAGGAGAAAAAATCTTCCAAATTAATCAAATATCTATTAAACACATTTTGTACCTATGTAGGGCTAAGCACTCAAGTAGCCTGAGGCCATGAAAAACCAGAGCCTTTGACACCAAGAGCTAATCGAGTTAGGGAGATAAGATGAATATTAGAAATAATTAAGGAAAAAAACAGGATAAAATAGTAGTTGTGTGATCTTGTTGACTCATCCATAAAAAAAGAGGGGTTTGAATGAGATGGTCTCTAAAGGGGTCAGCTAAGTGGAATACCAGACCTGTGGTCAGGAAATCCTGAGTTCAAATCCAGCCTAAGATACTTACCAGAGTTTTACTAACAAGGGTGTAATGATGTATGTACTGTCAGACATGGCCAATGTATTGAGTGACCTTAGACAAGTCACTTAACCTGTGTTTGTCTCAGTTTCCTCATCTGTAAAATGGGGGCAATAATAGTACCCACCTCCCAGGGTTGTTGTGAGGATCGAATGAAATAATAATTGTAAGATACTTGGCACAGTGGTTGGAATACATTAATCACTTTAAAAATGTTAGCTATTATTGTTATTCTTTCCACTTCTCACACTCTGCAATTCTAAGTAATTTGGGGTTCACAGACCCTGAACTTATTTTTTTTTTCATGTCTTTCTCCCACAACTTCCACTCCCCAGATGACAGCAGCCCAGCTGACATATTTGCAGTGGGATTTGAAGAGATGGTGGAATTGAGTGCAGGAAATATTGTCAATGCTAGGTAGGTAAGAAATTGCTATGGTGGGGTGAGTGGGATTGTGATGTGAGTCATATCAAATGAATCACGTATCTGAAGACACAGACCATGATCAGTGTGTGGGATACTTTAAAAAAATTATTAAAATATTAACATTAAACATTAGTATGACCAACTAAAATTTATTAGTAACTTCACATTTAAATTAATTAATTTTAGTGTATAAGGTATAGTGTTTTAGTCATTCCCTCTTAAATTGCTCATCAGAATTTTTTAGGAACCTATTTAACATATATTTAAGTAATCCTGACTCTGAACTGATAGAATATACCTGGTTAAACTTCCCCCAAACCAAAGTAATTGTCCCTAAAGGGCTGAGGATGAGAAATGCTGTATGTGTTCATATAGGTCATATTACACATGACATGTTGAGGTAGAATTCACTTTAACATCTAGACATCCAGACAAAGTGGGAAACTGGCCCATATAAGTTTACCTTAAGGCAAAATTGGCTGATTGACTTTTCCATTGGGAGAAAAGAAGAGAAAAGGAAGAGTTGACTAAGTTTTTTCATTCAGCAAACATTTATTGAAACCCCCATCCCCATCTGCTTTCTACAAGTTAGCATGCCCAACATGGTGGTAAGGCTAGTATGGGGTGGAGGAAGATATTGAGATGAATAAATATGACAGCTTTCTGGATAGAAGAGGGGTATATTCAGTGGGGGGGGGGGATATGAAAACTAAAGTCAACAGTCAGACAACAAGAATTAATTGATTAAGCATTTACTAAGTTCATCCAAAGTAGATTCAAGAAGTAGCTGGAAGGGAATCTTGGCAGGAAAGCCAGTGACTGGAGAGGGAACCAAGAAAGGCTTCCTGCAGAAGGGGGCGATGTGATGGAAGCCAGGGAAGGCAAGTGGCTGAGGTGAGCTGGAGATGGGGAGTGGAGCCTTGTGGCTCAAGGAGCAGCAAGTTGGCCAGGATATCTGGATAATAGAATGCATGGCAAGGAGCAAAGTGTAAGGCTGGAAAGGTAGGAAGGGGCCTGGTTACCAAGTATTGTGGTGGGCTTTGGGTTTTTTTTTTTTAATTACCATCCCCTGCCTTCAAAAAACTTGACTAATTGGGGAGATAAGCCTTTTGCCTATATAGTTTAATATAAACCATCGTGAGTTCAGTAGGGAAAGAGAAAATAGTGTTTTAGGAACTGGAGGAGCAAGAGCTCTCTTACAGCTAATTAACTATGACGTGATTGTTTTTGTTTTTTTGTTTTGTTTTGTTTTGTTGGGTTTTTTTTGTATTTTCTTTTCTTCTAGCACTACCAATAGAAAAATGTGGGGAGAGCAGCTTCAGAAGGCTATCTCAAGGTCTCATAGGTACATTCTGTTGACTTCTGCCCAGCTCGTAGGCGTCTGCCTTTATATCTTTGTACGCCCTTACCATGTTCCATTTATCAGGTAAGAAAGTGGGTTTACCCACAGAATAACTTTTTTGTATTTAGGAAACAGGAGTTGGCTGCAAATATTTGTACTCTATTTGATGATGGCTTTCCCTATCTTATAGCCTTCACCAGGACTGACTGTTTTTTGATATGGATTTATATAAACCTGATAACTAAAAGATTAGGTTGCATGGTGCTAGATGGGAGAACGAGACTTCTCTTGCTCAGGCAGCTGACCTTGGATTTAGAATGAATTTTAATAAATTTCCATTGATACTTAAAATCATAGCATTAATTTTAGAAAACGAAAGGGATCTTTTGTTGATTTTTTTTTTTTTACTTAGATTCTGTGACCAAGAGAGTTGAGTATCCAAGCAGGAGATGTCAGTTCTTTCATCTTTCTTTAATAGAGTTCAAAGTATGTTTTGCAGCTGGAAAGCTTCTGCACCTGTCATCCATTATTATTTCCTAAAAGTGAAAAATCTTCTAAATTTCTGAAAATAGAAATTTTAGGAAGTTCCTCTTCCTAGCAGACAATACCACCTCCCCACCCCCATAAACTATAACCTCCTTCAGAACAGGGATTATTATCTTTTTATTTTGGCAACCCAAGTGCCAACATATAGTAAGCACACTTAAAGAATCCTTGCTGAATTATTCTAAACAGAAGCATTCATTGTTCTTTTACGTTAGATGAACTCAGCCTTGATTTCATTCAAGGCGTCTACCTAATTTTTGATTGAGTCTTAGCCCCAGGCACATCATTTTCATCTTCTCCAGTCTCTTCTTGGTTAATGTGGTTTATGGCCCCAAAGGGTTGGAACTAAGGATTTTTCTTCCCTAATTAAATATGTTTGTACCTTGTTGAACGCCTCAGTCAGCATCCCTAGAGGACCCTAACGACACAAACCATAGCAGCATTTAAATAGCACACTTATTTCTGAACATCCCCAGCCTGCTCCTCACGCTTCCTAATCCTTTTCCGTGGTAAAGGATTTCAAGAGACTAAACTTTTAATGTTTCCCTGTACCTGGATATCTTGTAGGATGACAATAATTTTTAATGTGACCAAGTTGGCAGATTTAGTGTTCTTATCTGAAAGCAAAGGGTCTTGGTGAGAAAGCACAAAGCACAGATGATTAGTGGCTGTGCATTTTAGAAACATGGCATAAGATCATAGATACCAATGCCCTCAGTGAATAAATAGTCCCTTTGGCCTTAGGCTTGTTGAGTAAGCACACCTGTTCCCCCAGATATCATTGTCAAGTTATCATCTGAGCAATAACTGTGGAGGGACTGACAGTTGAGTTTTTGCTATACCAGGGGCTCTCTCAGTCAATGGCTTTTTCCATTAAAATGTTAAAAGTTAACATACTTGAAATAGCATAGATTTGCCCACTTTCTCTCATGCTCAGGTTACCGAAAACAAGAATCCTCACTCAACAAAGGCTGGTTTGAAACCACCTCTGGAGACCTTTGCAAGTAGCCATCATTTTCCTAATTCTCCAAATATACCATATTTTTAGATAGACACTCCTCAGTATTTTATAGTCATGGCCACCTCTGGGTCACAATAATGCTATTCAGATTGAGTGTTCCCAGCAGTATGAATTCATATTTTTCTGGGGGCAGAAAAGAGTGGGATCGGACAATAAAAAGCAGGTACAAAGCAAGGATGAATGACTTCTTAGCTTCCTCATTTTTATGAAATACCTTTTGTGACATGGGGCTTGGTTCAAAGTAAGCCTCATATGAAGATATCTGAAATCCTACTGTCCCAAAGGTTACTTTATCATTTCCACATGGAAACCAGTCATCTGGTGAAAGAAAGGTCATTTCTTTATAATAGGATAATGCAAATGGAAAGTCTTCACAAGGGTATAGTAAAGTATTGCTTGGTTACTGAGGATGTAATTGGGAAAGTGGTACAAAGGAATTTTTGCATGCTCTCTTTATAATAAATTGCCTGTGCCAAGAAGGTGGTTTGGGTTTTCCTTCCTGGGTATAGAGAAATCAAACTAACTTTTTCCTTGCTTTTCTTGGGTCCCAGGGATGTAGCAATTGACACGGTGAAGACCGGCATGGGAGGAAAAGCTGGGAACAAAGGCGCTGTTGGCATCCGATTTCAGTTCCACAGCACTAGCTTCTGTTTTATTTGTAGTCATTTGACTGCTGGACAGTCACAGGTGAAAGAGAGGAATGAAGACTATAAGGAGATTACACAGAAGCTCAGTTTCCCCATGGTGAGAAATTCCATGTCTAAGAAATTGGAATTTGATGAACAAAGCCTTGAAACTAGCATGGAGTGTCTGGTGGAGTGTGGTAATAGTGGTGGTGGTAGGGGAGGGAGTGGCATGCATTTTATGTGACTTTCCTATCATTTCTGTCCGCTCAGCTCCTTCTGTCTTTGTACCTTTGTCCTTTGTACATGTCCATCCTTTGTATATCTCTGTCTTTTTGTAAATTTTTTCATGCATCATTTCTGTTTTACTTATCGAAAGATAAAATGCTGGGATGGGAAGAAATATTGCCAAAATATATCAGTGGTTTGTGCTGATATTTTGGGCAACTTAGCAAAGAACGCTTGAGTCTAATTTTAATAAAGTACAATTTTCCCCAAGCTTCAAAATTTTTATGTGTGTTATGATGCATCTCAGCATCTATTAGTATGGCTGCTATTCCTGTGGAGCTCAGATAGGAACACCCACTATAAAAGTTGATTGAATTCATGTTTAAGAATCCTCTCACCCCATAGAGAAGTCCCTAATGAGGAGACAACTGTGGGAAGCTGCACATAACACGCACAATGTTGCCCTCTAGTGATGGTATGGAGGTCCATGGTGGTTTCCTAAGGAAGCAAGGATATTTTGCTATTTGAGTTGGGATTGTACTTTTTCTTTCCCTTATAAGAATCCTGGATGGTTCCCAGTAGGGTTGGGTTTTGCACTTATCCATCCACATATTTTTCCGATGGTTCTTGCGACCAAATAACATGGATGAAATTGAATCATGTTCATGGTGAGCCCCGGACAGTGACTTTATTGACCCCATCTGTACTCTAACAGGGATGTATGTTGCATCTAAAATATCAGTGCCAAAATTTCTCTTCATTATTTTATGCCATGACTTTTGTTGTATTGACTGCATTAGAAAAGGAAAAATACAAGTTAATTTATGATATAGTTTGGCATGTGCTTTGTGCTTTCATCATAGTGTTGTTTTTTTTTTTATAAATGCATGATTTTATTTCTTGCTGGGCTTTTTTTTTTTAAAAAAACAAAACAAAACAACAAACCAACATCTTTAATGGCCCATCTTAAATCCTAAGGTGTCAGATTTTTAAAAATTCTTTTAAAAAAAAGCATTTGGTTTACTTATAGTTGTGTAGTTACATTTAATATATACATATAGTATAGTTATTTATAGTTGTATATATACGTATACTATATATATAATATAGTGTGTATGTGTGTATATAGATGGATAGCAATTGTTAATGGCACGTGTAAATATATATATATATGTATATATATGTGTATATATATATATAAAACTAGCATTTATGTAGTACTTGAAATGTTTGTGAATTTCTTTATTTATTTTGTCTCATTTGCTCCTCACAACAACCCTGTGAAGTAGGTGCTGTTATTATCCTCATTTTATAGATGAGGAAACTGAGGCTGAAGAGGTTAAGTGACTTTCTCAGAGTCACATAGCTACTAAATGATTGAGGTAGAATTTAAACTCAAGTCTTCCTTACTTTCAAGTTCTGCACTCTATCCACTGAACAACCTAGCCTTCCCCCAAAGGAGCTATGGCATAGTATCCCCTCTTAATGGAATAAATGTGTGTATCTATATAGGTAGATATAGTATGTGTAACTATGTATCTAGCTACATATAGTTATATAACAAATACAGTTTTATATACATACAAAGCTTATTTTTGTTATATAACTATGTATAGTTACAAGTAATTATATAGTTTATACACACACGCACACACACACACATACATCTCATATAGTTTATATTTGTACTGCCTAACTTGACTATATTTTTTAAAAAACTAAGGTTGGGATTCCCCTGGAGAGAGGATGCAGAGGATCACAGAGAATAGACCTACAGAGCCTTAAATCACTGTTTTTAGGTGATGTGGGTGTACACTCGAGAATAACTATTAGCTTATTTTTATTTGGGGGTGAGGACGGGATGGGGCTTGGTGGTAGGGATGGGATAACAATGCTGTTCGTTCAGCTAATACACTGTTTGGATTGAGAAAATTTATAGTGGCAAAAGTAAAGAGCCACATGACCTTACTTGGTGCCCGGATGGACTTAGGAACCCCTTAAAATAACTCTACAGACTACAGTTTAGAAGCCACCATTCTAGAGGGTCAAGGGATTTGATCCAACAAGCATCTGTGGCATAGTTTGTGCAGAGCACTGTGCAAAATGGCGCAAGAGAGAGAAAGTTTAGATAAAGACTGGTCTTGGCCCATTGCTGTCTAAGCTCCATTAGATTGTCTGCCTGTCTGCTGGGGGGAACTGTGTCCGTAGAGGAATATGCCATACGGGTAATGATGACACCAATGCTTAGGAACCAAGTGGCATCACGAGGAAGTTTGTAACAATTTCCTTAAACCTCAAGTAATGTTAAGTGCTTGGGTTAACCTGCCATGTTAGAATGTAAAGCATATTATTAAAGTAGAGGACAACACAGGACAACAACAGAATTCAAACTCAGATTGCCCTCATTCCATATTCAGTGCTCCATCCACAAAGACAGGCTGCCTCCTCTAAAGAAGCATTGTCAATGTTGTTCAGTCATTTGAGTCCTGTCTAATTCTTTGTGACCCCATTTGGGGTTTTCTTGGCAAAGATATTGGAATGGTTTGCAATTTCCTTCTCCAGCTTATTTTATACATGAGGAAACTGTGTGCCCAGGGTCACACAGCTAGAAGGCGTCTGAGGCTGGATTTGAACTTACATCCTCCTGACTCCAGGCCTAGTGCTCTATCCATTATACTATCTAGCTGCCCTTCCTTTGCAATTTATTTAGCCATTCCCCTATTGTTGATCCCTTAAGTTACTTCCAGTTTTTGCAGTTACAAATAGGGGCTGCTTTGTAAATCTTTCAGCTGATACTGCATATTGATCACTCTCCTAAAAAACTCAGCAAGTTTGCAATTCTCCCATCAATGAATGAGTGTACCCGTTTCTCCACAACTCTGCCAGCATGTAATTTCATTGTTTCTTTATATTTTTGCTAATTTGATGGCTATGAAATAATACCTCAAAGTTTAATTTGTATCTTTTTTAATTTTGCCAAGGTTGAACTTCTTAAAAAGTGCTTATTAATCATTTGTCTTTCTTTTAAAAATTGCTGTAGATATACTTTCCATTTGCAATTGAAATCCATTTCCAAACCACTTGATAATAACTAGTACAAAATAGAGCATTTAGTTGAAAATGTCTAAGAAGGAAGTTTAGGTTTTGAAGTAGTAACGTTTTTATTTTTGTTTGTTTTTAAAGAGACTGATTCTATGTGCCATTTCGGTTGAGCAATTTTATAATATGATCCTGCATCTGTCTTCCTTTCAGTATCAACCTCTATTAAAATAAGCTTTTCTTAATAGTTTGTTTTTCTTGTTTGTTTTCACACAACCAGGGAAGAAGTGTCTTTTCTCATGACTATGTATTCTGGTGTGGGGATTTCAATTACCGAATTGATCTTACTTATGAAGAAGTCTTCTATTTTGTTAAGCGACAAGACTGGAAGAAACTTCTAGAATTTGATCAACTACAACTACAGAAATCCAGTGGAAAAGTAAGTCACTTTTGGGGTAGCTGCTTTATTTTGGAACACTCATTCTTGAAACCTGGCTTGGACTGGCTCATTGCAATGAGTAATCAGATAGGAAATTGCATAATGCTGTCTTTAGAATCTGAAAAACTAAGCTCAGATCCTGCATTTGTCTCTTATTATCTCTGTGATATCAAGCCAACAAGGATTTAAGCTCTGGTAATACAAATAGGATAGTTCCTGCCCTCAAGGAGCTTACATTCTAATGGTGGAAGACTACTTATAAAAGAGAATTGAAAGGGGGGTGAGGGTAGAAAGAGACGAAGGTACGTGTTCCTGAACTTTGTAGAATAAGTCCTTAAGAGGGACCGTGGAATCTGAGGGATAGACTTCAAGCGAGGAGGTTGCTTTTGGAGTGCAGGTTCAGGTGTAGAGTGAGCCTCCAGAGTGAAGAGGATTCTGAGGCATTATAGAGAAAGACCAGGACAGTGAAGAATATAGCCTGGGGAGAAATGAAGGAATGTGATGTTGGACTATTTGAATTTCAGCTTCCTCGTTTTTGAAATGGAGGTTAGACTAGATGATGACTCTTCTAGCCCTAAATCCTATGATCCTAAGTATTTCTAATCATGTAGAGAGTATATATGGGGAGCTGGGTTGCACAATGGTTAGAGCTCCAGGCCTGGAGTCAGGAAGACTCATCTTCCTGAGTTCAAATCCAGCTTAGACATTGACTAGTTGTGTGACCTTGGACAAGTCACTTAACCCTGCTTGCCTCGGTTTCTTATCTGTAAAAAATGAGCTGGAGAAGGAAATGGTAAAACCCTTCAGTATCTTTGCCAAGAAAACCCCAAATAGGGTCAGGAAGAGTCCGACACAACTAAAAATGATGGAACTACAAAAAAGAGTATATATAATATGTGTGTTTATGTATACACACATATACTCACACAAATACATGTTCTTCCCCTACCCTGCCTCTTCTTGCCTAAGTGTAATATGACTCATAGGCAAAAAAATGTGTTCATTTCCAGATCAAAAAGAATAGTTTCATATGATAGGATACATTTTGGAGAACTTTGAAAAAGGGTTGACAATTACACTAATATAAAGTTAACCCTGACTCCAGCTAAGCAGGGAAATTTTTGCCCAAGTGGAAACTAGCTTTGGCTGCCAATAAAATAAAGTTCATAATGCTTACAAGTCTCAATAACAGTCACAGCATGGGATTTTGTTCTACTTTATTAAAATCAGTTGTAACTATCAGAATGACCTTAAATGATTTTCCATACTTGGGCGGAGACTGTTGGGCTAAGAATGCATCTGCACAAGGGTCATAAAATAGACAGTGTGCTTTGGGGAGCCTTGATTAAGGTTGTCATCTGTATGTATGTGTAGAGGCTGAATACATTCATAAATAAGACTTTATGTACATTCATAATGCATTAAACACAGGGGATATTTTATTGATGGGATGGTCTGTTTCCACTCCTAGGACTTAAAATGCTGAATTATAGTTCTAACAGTTTTCAAAATACATTTGCCTGGAGATTTGACTCAGAGGAATCAATGTGGCATGATGGAAAGAATGCTACATTGGGAGTCAGAAGACCAAAATTTGAATCATGGCTCTACCATTTTACTACTAAGTCAGTTAATGTCTCTGGACTTTACTTTTTGCATCTGCAAAATGAAGGGGTTACAGTAGGAGACCTTAAGGTTCCTTTCTATCTCTCAATCTATAATCCTATGATAATTTGAATCTCTTCCTGTTTCCTGACTTACACAATTGTATACATTTCCCTTCAAGGGATCCTTAAATCATGAATATCAGTAAGAGAAATTCTATAACTATTCTGAATTATGTAGGGGCTGTTAATTCTGTTTCATGCAGTACCCTTCTTCTTTTCAACCTTTCAATATATATATTAGTCTTCATTGAAGCAGCTAAATTGCATTGTGGATAGAGTGCCAGACTTGGAGTTTGAATCTGGCCTCAGATATTTGCCTTCTATATGACCTTCAGTCTCTGTTTCCTTATCTGTAAAGCAGGGAGGATCAAAAGAGATAGTATATGTAAAATGTTTTGCAAATCTTAAAATGCTGTGTGTTAGCCTTTATTATTGTTGTTGTTCTGGAAGAATAGGCTAAAGCAGGAAGCACCTGATAATGGCCCCCAATAAATATTTTTCAAAAGGAAGACTGACTTTCTTGACTCTAATGAGATAGGGGTTTCTCTGAGATTTTCTCCTATGTTGTCTTTGTGTCGACCAGCAGCACTAATATGGAAAAGCTGTATGTGTAAAGAAATTCACCCCAAAGGTACTACCCTATGATACTTTTTACTTTCCCATTTCCGTGTCAGGTAAACTCTGAAAGTCAGAATGTCCCCTAGGCATCTCTCGCCACATCCCAAGCATTGATGTTGTTACTAGAAATTTTGTGTTGAAGAGAGGCAAAGAAGTAGAGAATAGGATCATAGGACCATGAATTTAGAGCTGGAAAGGATCTTAGAGATCTGTCTGATATCTTCATTTTGCAGATGAGGAAACTGAGGTACAGAAACGTTCAGTGACTTGCCCAAGGTTACCTTGGTAGAAAGTGGCAGGGCTGGGATTCAAACCCACATGTCCTGATTTCAAAAGCAGCACTCCTACTGTGTCATATTGCCTACTCGCTTTAATTATGGATTTCTGTTTATTAAGATGGTCAACCCAGTGGCCAACACGCTTTGCTTTTGTATTTTTTCTAAAGCCCTCATTCCCAGTTTCAAAATTGTTTTAGGCACTTATAAATATAGGATTAAGATTGTGTTAAGATGGGGCAGCTAGGTGGCGCAGTGGATAGAGCACCGGCACAGAAGTCATGAGGACCTGAGTTCAAATCCGGCCTCAGACCAAACACTTGACACGTACTAGCTGTGTGACCGTGGGCAAGTCACTTAACCCCAACTGCTTTACAAAAAAAAATAAAAATAAAAAAATAAAAGCAAAAAAAAAAAAGATTGTGTTAAGATGTATTCACATATAGTATTTTGGTAATGCATATTTTTGCATTTGACACAGAAAATCTGGAAGAATTGAGATGATAATTGGATTGTTTTTCTTGGTAGATTTTTAAGGATTTCCATGAAGGTACCATTAATTTTGGACCCACATACAAATATGATGTTGGCTCAGAAGCTTATGATACGAGTGATAAGTGTCGAACCCCAGCCTGGACTGACAGGGTACTATGGTGGAGGAAGAAACATCCTCTTGACAAAACAGGTTAGTGAAAATGAAAGACTTAGCAATGTTGGGCAAATTAGAATGAGTACAGTTTAGAAAAAAAACCCACAAAACCCAACAAAAAAAACTTCTCATATGTACTGAGCTCAGTGCTCTTATTAAGGTTCCTGATTCCTTACAGGTTGTTATCTTAAAATCATACCAGATTCTTGTTATGAAAGATACATAAGCATGCCTAGAATACCCAAAGACTCTAAGATGGGCAGTAAGTTTGGAGAGATCATGTTCTTCAGACCATCTCCACTTGGGCTATGTTAAAAGCATAAGATTTGCTGCCACCCTCTACCTCTCCCTGTTCTACCATCATCTTTTAGTTCTGGCCAAGAGAAGAGGATGCTAATTTCAAAAGATGTGACTTGTCATCTTTCTCCCTCCCTGGCACTGTAATTTTATCCTTCACATGCATATACATATGTGTCCTTTATCTAGCTTATTCAAATCACTTGCCTTCTACTAGCATCTTACTCTATTAGGCCCAATTCTGCTAATTTAGAAGTGAAAAAATGAGCATAAGTCAAGACTTATCTGGGTAGATAGAGTTTACCATTTTAGCATCCAACAAATATTTCTTGTTTGCCCTGCTGGGCAGTCAGGATGACTAAAAATTCTGAGAACTGGACATGCTTTTCAACAAATAGGATGCTCAAACTAAGCTTCTCTCATGGGAAATATGCTAGAATTCAAGGCTAGGAAATGTGTACACTCAAGCAGATTAAAAAAAATCCATTTTCTTTCAGTTAATATTTACTCAGCAGTTGCGTGTTATATGTCACCATGCCAAGCTCTTTGAAGTGGGGCTTGTCAGAATAAGTATTCTCAGACCCACAGGGCAATTTTATTCCCAAGTTTATTCCCTAAGCAAAATGCTTCCATCTCCTGATACAGTGAAGAGTGCCATCAAACTTGAATGCTAATCTTGATGGACCTAGAAAGGATTTTATTCCATTTATACTACAGAGAAATGCAAGCATTACTGAAATTCATGGTGCCCTTTGTTAGGATATGAATCCATAAAAGCCGTGTGAGCCAGCATCTCCCAAATTTAAACTTGTATTCCAGGGTGAATGGTTTGAGGTGGTGTTAGCTTAGTTTTTACCATGTGCAATTAAACAAATATGTATTAAACAAGATGCTGTGCCAGGCACTACGGGTCAAAATATGAAAAGTGACAGCCCCTACCTTGTACGAGGCTCACTTTAATAAGGAAGAGGATGGTTACAGAAATAATTATCACACAAGGAAGAGTGTTATTTTTGCAAAGGGCAAGAGTCTAGCCAAAATGCAGTAAATGACATTAGAAGGTAGGGAGAGATTGCTTTCTGCTGAGGGTATCAGACAAGGTGTCCTGGAGAAGGCGACTTCTTAGGGGGGCCTTAAAGGAAGGGAAAGATTTCCATAGGCAGAGGTGTGGAGAGAATGCTTACCTGGTATGAGGGCAGCCTGCACAAATGCAAACATAGACAGGAACAGATGAGGGGATGACCGTAGTCCAGGGTGAGTGAGTGCATGAAAGAAAGAAGTGAAGTAATGTCAGTAAAAGTAGCTGGGAGTCAGACTATGAGAGGTCTTAAATGTCAGCAGTCAGTGTTTTAAGAGTTTGTATTTTGTCCCATAGACAATCAAGAGTCACTGAAGATTTTTAACCAGGGAAGTCATGTTAAACCAATGTATTAGTTATTTTGGCAGCTGTGTTTAGGATAGATTTAGGAGGCAGGGGACAGGAAGAAGGGAGACCATTTTGTAGGCTGTCATAGTAGTCCAGGCAAGAGGAGGTGATGATAAGGTGGGTATCAAGAAGTAGAATAAAAAGGTTTTGATAACTAATCAGATTTAGGGGATGTGGGAGAAGGAATGATCAAATGATTCTAAGCCTTCTCGCCTTTGTGTCTGAGAGGATGGAGATGTCATCACTAAAACTGGAAAGTTAAGAGGAGGGGTGGGTTTTATGGGGCAGATTAATTCCATTTTGGACATGTTGAGCATGACACTTGGGAGCTTGTATTCTAGTGATTTAGAAATTTAATCATTGGAGCCTTTGAAGAAAGAGTGTCAAGGTTCTGAGCCACACCTCAGGTGTTAGATAAGGAAGAGAAGATGGTAGCAGTGAAAAGAAGAAAGAGAACTATAACTTGAGGGGGTAGGGTTACATATAGCTTTACAAGGGAAGTGGAGAATACTAAGAGAACTAATGTTTTCGGAAGTGCCCTCCTAAAATAAGGAAAATAGTTGTGACAGAGTGTAAAGGCATATGAGGAGTCAGAAGAGTGGCGTACAAGTCCATCTTCTGCCATAGTCATGCACGCATTCTAAGCTTGTTTTCTGCCACATAAAATGAGAATGATAATAGTTTCACTTCCTACGTGGAGATTAAATGAGAAACTCATCTAGTACTTTGGAAATAGTAAAAGGATTCATAAATAAAATTTGCTTTTCTTTTTCATTTTGGACTTTTATTTTTAAATGTTACATTTTAATGTGTGTATTTTTTTTAAATTGTGCATCCCACAAATGGAATCTCCTTTTAGCGGGAGAGCTCAACCTTCTAGACAACGATTTAAACATTGACACCAAAATCAAGCACACCTGGTCTCCTGGCGCTCTTATGTACTATGGTCGAGCAGAACTTCAGGCTTCTGATCACAGGTAATGTCCTTCCTGGGGCTCAGATGCCTCAAAACATTTTACCTTCAGGATTTTTTATATGATTTGAAAATGCCATTTCTGGTCTCCTACATCTTGGCCAGCTGTCCCAGAGCTGGAGGCCTTATGCGTAGAGAATGGAACATTGTTCTGTGCTGGACGTGTGAGGATACTGATGAGACACACAGAAAAGTGTGTCTTTTGTACACTCTTTTGTCTTTTGTCTTTGGTACAATGGCGATAGCTGGTGAAGGCAAATGAGAAGGGAAGAGTAGAAATTCTTAGAAATGTAACAGAAACAGTATTATACTGGAACAGCATCACCCTCTGTGCCAAGAGTTCTTAACCATTTTTGTGTCCTAGGCACCTCTGGCAGTCCGAGTGAAGGCTGTTGACTTCATCTCAAAATGATGATTTGTTGTCTACCTTCATAATTGAAGGAAATTATAAATATCATTTAGAGGTCAATGAAAATGTAAAGATGTTAATAATTTTTCACCCACTCAAGTTCAAGTTCTCAATTAAGAACCCCTGCTTTACAAGGACTGGAGTCAAAAGGGAAAGGAGTTGGTGATTTAAAAAAAAAAAAAGAGTTGGCTGTCAATGGGGTTAAATTATTCTGAGGCCATCCTTGTTAGCCACATGTTATTTCAACTGCCTTGAAATAGAACGTAAGCCTTTTGATATATATACTTTTAGGGCAGCTTTTGTCAGTAGTAATTTCCTTTGCATGCAATGGATCTCTTCCGCATCTCCAGTTGCCTGCTCAGTCGACCTTCTTTATATTTTCCTTTGATTCCTTTGTCTGTCAATGATGGTACGATTTAGAGGTAACGCTAATTGTCTGAAGGAGCAAAGAAGCTGGAGCCTAAAATTTATGATAAGGAACTCATCATGTTTCCTAGAACAGATGATTTTTTTTTTCAGTTGGAAGATATTTTAAGGCCTCAGCAATTCAGACTAATATGGGAAAAGGACATATTTAATTATTGAATATGTACTGCTTTAATGGATCTGTGATCAGATCAATGTGCGGATTCCCTCCATATGAGCATAGTTCACATTCTGTCCAGACTTTTCCCATTTTGAGGTTCTGTCTGTGTCCTAAATAGGTCTGCCATATAGCATACGCTCAATTATATTTTGTATTCTGTTTTCTCTTCTGTTAATCTGGGCAATTTATATTTTTGTAAATATTCATCCGTTTTGCTTAGATTGTCAGATTTATTGGCATATAATTAGGCAAAATAGCTCCTAATTGCTTTAATTTCTCCTGCATTGGTGAATTTTCCCTTTTCATTTTTTATACTATTGATTTTCCTTCTTTTTTTAAAAATGAAATTAACCAATGGTTTACCTATTTTGTTGGTTTTTTCCCCATGAAACCAGTTCCTAGTTTTATTTATTGTTTTCATACTTTCAATTTTATTAATCTCTCCTTTGGTTTTCAGGATTTCCAATTTGGTGTTTAATTGAGAATTTTAAATTTGTTCCTTTTCTAGGTTTTTTAGTTGCATGCCTCAATTATATTTTGAAGGCATCAGAGCAACACTCAGGTTCTGTTATCTATATCCCTTGTGCTCACTATATAACCATGCATTTTCTAGACAATATCCCATAGACAATTTCCTGAATAGAGGTCATTATTGGAAATGTAGCATATCCTATTTACACCTACCTTTTTTGAACTTATTCCCTCCCCCCATTTTTTAAAATTTTGTTTTCTTGCTTTCACATAATTAAAACTAATGCCAAAGGGGTGTTTGTACCTGCTCTGATAAAAAGATAAAATTACTAAGATACTAAATTACTAAAAGTAGTTCTAGAATAACATAGTGGAAAAAAGTCAGATGTAGAGTTAGAAGACATGAGTTTAAATCCTGCCTCCGATGCTTAGTTACTGGATGAACATGGGAAAGTCCCTTATACTCCCTGGGCTTCCATTTCCTCATCTATAAAACAGCAGTGTTGGGCTAGATGGCCTTTGAGTTAGCTTCCAACTCTGATCTATGGCCCTATGTTTGGGAACACTATGATTTTTGCTGTAAGCTCATCCTTACCCTTTAAAATCTTATTGAAACCAAACATTAAACACGTTCTGAATTAGTGGCATCCAAATTATTTACAAGCTTTCATTGAACTTATTAATTTCAAAGCTACAAGTAAAAACAAAGGACGATTATGCTGTTTCCTGAATATGATATCATAAATATTATTTTAAATAGCCTTTTCTGAATTTTTCATCATTATAAAATTTAAGTGCAAAAGTTCCTTGAGTTTATTGAATCGGAATGCAACATGAGAAATATACCACACGTGCAGTATATTCATATTCCTGGAAATGCTTTTCTGAAAATGGAGGATGGCTATAACATCTTGGGAAGATCCTCTATGGAGGCTTTTTGAGAGATGCCTAAGGATCCTACAAGATGAGAAGTCCTATAGGGGAAAAAGTTTGGAGGGTGGAGAGGTTGCCAACCGTGTGGGGAGAGTGAGTATCCAATATTGTCCTGAATTAATTAAAATAGTGATATAATAGTAATTAGTTGACCTTAGACATTCAGTCCAATCAACACTAAATGATAGTTCTTTGATGTTTAAGTCCAGAAGGTGCTTTCTAGTGAGAATTGGGTGGGTTTTGAGGGGAGTGGGTGTGGGTAAGAGGAATCCTGAGTTTAAGTAGAGTTAACAAGTCAGCAAGTATTTATGAAGGACCTACTATGTGCCAGGCACTGTGCTAAGTGATGAAAAGGAGTCATGAATTTAGAGTCAGAGAGCCAGGTTCAAAACCCAGGCCTACCCCTGTAAAACTCTACCAACGTGGACAAGTTATTTAACCTCTCCAGCTCTTAGCTTCTCCTATATGTAAAACAAGACTGCTGGACAAGGTCATGGGATTATCGGTTTAGGGCTGGAAGGGAACTCAGAGGCCATAGAATCCAAAACACACACACACACCCATCCATCATTTCACAGATGAGGAAACTCGAGTCTAAAGGGACGAATGACTTGTCCAAGGTCACATAGGCTGAAAAAGATAGACGATCTCTGAGCTCATGGCAGAACTTCTGCCATCATTTTCCCTTGATCTGCTCTGTCCCTCAGATGTTATTGTTGTTCAGTCATTTCAGTCACGTCCAATTCTTTGTGACACCATTTAGGGTTTTCTTGGTAAAAATATTGGAGTGGTTTCCTGTTTCCTTCTCCAGCTCATTTGACAGATGAGGAAACTGAGGTAAACAGGGTTAAGTGACTTGTCCAGTGTCACACAGCTAGTAAGTATCTGAGGCCAGTCTTGAACTCTGGAACATGAGTCTTCCTGACTCCAGGCCTACCTGCCATCCCTCAGTTAAGCATCACCAATTTATTTCCTAATTGCGAATGAGTAGGTATATCTTTCCTTCACTATCCAAATGTAATCCCCTCACCTTATCCATAAGCTGCTAAACACTAGGTTGACTTAAAACTCTTTAAGTTTTAGTCCTCGATAATTAAACAGTCATTAAGATCCAGCTGAGATGATTATTTTCTAAGTGCTGACTAAGATAATTAAAGAGCAGCAATATTCCTCTCCCCGGACTTCTTCCACCAAAAAATGAAAACAAAAAAAAACCTTACTCATGTATGAAATAGATAGGGCAAGTGGTGCCCCTATCTCCTGGACTAATTGTTGGGATAAAAATTAGCCAGGAAAGCAGTGGGAGGATGCAAATGATAGCAGGATTCTGTTCAGCGAGCATCTTGCCTTGAAGTTACCTTTGTGTTATCTTGTCTGTGTGTTTAACAGGCCTGTGTTGGCAGTTGTAGAAGTAGAGGTCCAGGAAGTGGACGTAGATGCCCGGGAGAGAGTCTTCCAGGAAGTGTCATCTTTCCAAGGACCCTTAGATGCTACAGTGGTGGTAAACCTACAGTCACCAACCCTGGAAGAACAAAATGAGTTCCCTGAGGATTTGCGGGCTGAGCTTATGCAGACCTTAGGGAATTATGGGACCATAATTCTTGTCAGGTAAATACTGATGGAGGCTAAATCTATGTGTGTTGCCATAAGGCCCACGACATCCTAGGCCTCAGTAGAGGACCACTCTTTTTTTCTTGGCAAAGGCAAGACTTGACATGCCAGTACCTCCTATTGATTTTTTCCACCTCTCTCCATCTGTCTCTTGTTTTCTGCCTTCTCCTTTGCCATTCAGCCTATGATTAAGGGAGAAAACAGGACCATTTTCTTTTTTCCCATTTCTCCTCCCAAAAGTAGCATAGGACCCTTCTTGAGGCTTAAAAAAAAGATTTATAAGGAATAAGGTTAATAGGTTCTACAACAAGGTGAACAGGATGTTTAGAAACTTTTTGTGGTCTTAAGAAGGAGTTGTGGCCATACATACTGCCTCTAGAGAAGAATATAGACCTTTTGTTCTTTAGCTTCTTTTTTTTTTTTCAGTGAGGCAGCTGGGGTTAAGTGACTTGCCCAGAGTCACACAGCTAGAAAGTACTGTGTCTGAGGCCAGATTTGAACTCAAGTCCTCCTGACTCCAGGGCTGGTCCTTTATCCACTGCACCTCCTTGCTGCCCCACATACCCCATTTTTGTTCTAAAAATCTCAAAATCCCTGGAGATTCTCCCTTCCTGTCTGCTTTCTCTTCTACCTTCTCTTTCCTCCTGCCCTCTCTTCCTTGTTTTCCCCCTTTTCCCCTTCTTTTTCTCCTCCCCTTTCCTTTTCCCCTCATTTCTAGCTTCCTTCTCTCCCTCCACTCTCTATTGCTTTTTGCCTCCCTCCCTCTCCTCCTTGTTCTCCCCCTTTTCCCCTCCTTTTTCTCCCCCCTCACTTTCCTTCTCCCCTCATTCCTAGTTTCCTTCTCTCCCTCCCCTCTCTACTGCTCTTTCCCTTCCCGCCTCATTCTCTCCCATGTATCATCTCTTCCCTGAGAAATGATCCTCTGAAATCCAGGCTTGGGCCAGATATGTGATTTCATTGTAGCAGGACAATTTCTAGATGAAGAGATTTACTTTACCAGTACAGGTTGGTACCTACTCTGTAAACCTAACAAAATCTAGAGAATTATCTGGAGCAGTAAGTGTTTAAGTGATTTGATCAAGGTCGTGAAGACAGAGGCAAGACTTCACATCCAGGTCTTCTCTACTCTGAGGCTGTTTCTCCATCCCCTACACCATCTTGCCTTAAAAATCAAGGCTTGTAGTAAGGAAAGAAACTCTTGAACTGAAAGTACAAGTTGATAGAAAATGTTCCCCACTCATAAGGGCAGAGATTAACCTGGAAGCTGGTTCAGGAGCTAGTTCTGCTGTCTTTTTTTTTTTTTCCATCCTATAAGCTACTGCTATTTGTCTCTCTTCTTCCCAGGATCAATCAAGGGCAAATGTTGGTGACTTTTGCAGACAGTCGGTCAGCCCTTAATGTCTTGGATGTAGATGGTATGAAGGTAAGTCTCCCTGGATAGGCTCTATAGCCATGTGGGTTTCTGTGTGGGCTGTTTCCTCCCATTTTTCTTTCTACCTTTTGGGCTTATGAGTAAGTGATAGCTGTTCCCTCATCTCGTTATGAACAATGGCCCTGACTTTTTCTATTTGAGATCTAAAACTTAACAAAGGTTTATTAGCTGAGATTAAATGACTAACCCCAGGTCAGATTACTAAAACACATATTTTCCACTGAGCCACCTATGTGACCCTCACCTACATTTCTTCATATATGAGTCCCCTGAGGTTACTTTTGATGAGTGTGGTATATATGGAATGGTAGGAATTTGTTAGGTAAGAATAGGGGACAGCAATCCAGACATAAGGAACCATGTGAATGCCCCACTTATGTGCCTTCATTCACACAGTTCCTTAAGTGGAGCATACCATGCAGGTATATGGAGGGGATGTAAAGTTCCAGTTTGGCCAGCCTAGAGCTCACTGACAGAGGAGCAATGTAAGACAATATTGGGAAAATTGGATGGTACCTGCATTTTGGACAGCTTTGCACTCCCGGAGTAGAAACTTAAATTTTATTCAGACAATTGAAATTTGTTGAGCAGTCAACTTGATAAGCATTTATTAAACACTTAGCGCATGCCAGGCGCATATGAGAGGCAGGGGATACAAAGAGAAATGAAATGATCTTTATACAAGGACTTCACATTCTGTCAGGGGATCTATTCAGATGAGGTGATACAGGGTAATTTCAGGGAGGGTGCACTATTAGCTGACCTTCTTTTGAATCTCACATGGGTTCAAAGTCCTCATGTAGGAGTTAGCTGAGCTGAAAATTGAAGGAATCTAGGGGTGCCAAGAGGCATGGAGAAGGAAGATGGAATATTATGTGTGAGGGACACCACATAGGCCCATTTTGACTGAACCTTAGACCCAGTGACGTGGAGTAAAAGGTCATAAATCTTGACAGATAGTCTGAAGCCAGATTGTGAAGGGCTTTAAATGTCCAACAGAGGAATTTGCATTTTTTTTTTATCTTAAAGGCAACAGGAAACCATTGAAGTTTTTTGAGCAGGGTCAGGCCTGTGATTTAAAAAGATCATTTTGGCAGCTGTATGTAGGAGGGATTAAAGAAGGTGAGACTAAATAGAAGGCTATTTCAATAGTCCAAGTAGGCAGTCATGAGGATCTGGATAGAGTTGGGGAGGCGGGGGGGGGGGGTTGTGATGGAAGGGATAGAGAAAGGTGCTAGAAAAATTGGCAAAGTAAAGATGATAAAATTCAACAACAGACCGACTATGGTAAGTGAGAGAAAAATCAAAGATAACACCAAATTTCAAACATGGGAAACTAATTGGTGGTGCCATGGACATAAATAGGAAAGTCATTGGAGACGAAGGTTTTTGAGGAAAGATAATTTGCATTTTTAGACACGCTGACCCACTGATTAATGGGATATCCAAGGGAAGCTATGCAGTATACTGTCTGAGTCGCAAGTCTGAAGCTTGGGGATAAGGCCAGGACTGGAGATAAATATTTGGCCATCACTTGCACAGACATGCTGCTCCAAGATACGGTAATAAATGAGATTATGAAAGGAGAGAGAATAGTGGGAAGAAGAAAACAGGATAGAGATCTAAATCTTGTGGACTCATCTAAGTCCACATGTCTGGAGGGGAAGAGAGGCTGACAGTCGAGACAGAGGAATGGTTACATAGAGATATTGGAGAGGATCCAGGAGTTTGGTATCTCTAAAATGAAAAAAGAAGCCAGAAGAGGGACATGGTCAGTAGCCTCATGTGTTGAAGAAGACAAAGATGGCTAGGATTGAGAAACAGGCATTTGGCTATAAGAAAGACATTGCTGACCTTTGAGATAAGAGTTCTGTATTATTCTGTGAACTGGTGAGGTCATGTAAGGTTGAAGTAAAGAACTCCCCTTTCATGTGCTTGACAACTAGTGGATCAGGAGTGACAGCTAACAGCAACAATAACACACATTCATATTTTACCGCAAGGTTTGCCAAGCACTTTACATCGTAGATTCAGGGATGGGAGAGAGAGCATCTAGTCTAGTCTCCTCATTTATTGTCGCCATCTTAACAGGAGAGGAAACTGAGGCTTGAAGTGGTTAATTCTTGACCCAAGAGGGAAAACAAGAGGCGACACTGAGTCAAGGCAGGATTCATAAATTAACCAAATCTAACATGGGGGAAGAGAGTTCCTGATAACAGGATCTTATTGTTCAGTAGTTCTCAATTGTGTCTACCCTTCGTGACCCCATTTGGGGTTTTCTTGGCAAAGATACTAGAGTGGTTTGCCATTTCCTTCTCCAGCTCATTTGACAGATGAGGAAACTGAGGCAAGCAGGGTGAAGTGACTTGCCTAGGGTCATGCAGCTGGTAAATGTCTGAGGATAGACTTGAACTTGGGAAGATAAATCTTCCTGACTCTAGGCCTGGCACTTTATCAACTGTGCCACCTGGTGGCCCAGAGCAGTAGTCATGTAAATCATACTTCCATATTAGTCATATGAATGAAAACATAGACCAAAAAAAAAAAAAGTATGCTTAGATCTGTATGCCGATTCCATCTATATGCCAAAATAACTCTTCCAACATGTTTCATCATAAGTCCTTCAGAGTTATCTTGGATCATTATATTACTGAGAATTGCTACATCATTCATAGTTGATTATCATACAATGTTGCTGTTACTGTGTACAGTGTTCTCCTGTTCTGCTCATTTCACTTTGTATCAGTTGGTGTTGAGTCATTCCAGGTTTTTCTGAGAGCATCTTACTCATCATTTCTTATAGCACAATGGTATTCCATTATAGTCATATACCATAACTTGTTTAACCATTTCCCAATTGATGGGAATTTCCTCAATTTCCAATTCTTTGCCACCAGAAAAGAGCTGCCTTAAATATTTTTTATATGTGTAGGTCCTTTTCCTTTTTGTTTGGATCTCTTTGGGATCCAGATTTGATAGTGGTATTGCCGGATCAAAGAGTATGCATGGTTTTATAACCCTTTGGGCATAGTTCCGAAGTGGTCTACAGAATGGTTGAATCAGTTTGCAACTCCATTAATAGTGCATTACTGTTCCAATTTTCCCACATCCCCTCCAACATTTGTTATTTTCCTTTTCTGTCTTGTTAGCCAATCTGATAGGTGTGAGGTGGTACCCCAGAATTGTTTTAATCTGCATTTCTCCAAACAATAGTGTAAATCAGGGTTTCTAACCCTGGGATCTGTAAACTTGGGTTTTATTTTTATTTATTTTTTTATTTTTTTAGGCAGTTGGGGTTAAGTGACTTGCCCAGGGTCACACAGCTAGTAAGTGTCAAGTGTTTGGTCTGAGGCCGGATTTGAACTCAGGTACTCCTGACTTCAGGGTTGGTGCTCTATCCACTGTGCCACCTAGCTGCCCCTTGGTTTTTATTTCAATGACAGTTCTTCAACATTATGTATGCGCTTTATGCAGTTAAAAAATTGTTCTGAAAAAGAGTGTATAGCTTTCACCAGATGACCAAAGGAGTCCATGACACAAGAAAGGTTAAGAATCCTTGCTCTGACGCTGTACACAGTAACAGCCACATTGTGTGATGACTAATGTTGATAGACTTAACCCATCTCAGCAATACAAGGATCTAAGACATCTCCAAAGGCCTTGTGATAGAAAATGCTATCCACCAAGAAGAAAGAACTATGGAGTTTCAATGCGGATCGAAACATACTATTTGCTATTTTTTTCTTCTGTTTTGTTTTATTTCCTCTTTCTTGTGGTTCTTTCTATTGGTTCTAATTCTTACTTACAACATCACTAATGTGAAAATATGTTTAATAGGAATGTATATGTATAGCCTATATCAGATTGCGCACCGTCTTGGCGAAGGAGGTGAGAAGGGAGAGGAATAAAAATTTAAAACTTAAAAGCTTATGGAAGTGATTGTTAATTCAAAATAAACTATTTAAAAAAAAAAAAGAATCCTTGCTCTACAGGATGATTTCAAAACCTAGAAAGACTTTCATGAACTGATGCAGAGTGAAGTGAGCAGAACAAGGAGAACATTGTACATAGTAATGGCAAAATTGTACAATGATCAATTGTGAATGACTTAGCTGTTCACAATCGCAAAGGACTCATGATGAAAAATGTTATCTGCTTCCAAAGAAAGAACTGATGGAGTCTGAATACAGACTGATTCATACTATTTTTCACTTTCTTTTGGCTCAAGTTTTCTTCCACCAAATAACCAATATAGAAATGTTTTACATGATTGCACATGTATAACCTATATCAGATTGCTTACTATCTCAGGGAACGGAGCAAGGAGGAATGGAAAGAGGGAATTTGGAACTCAATATTTTAAAAAAAGTTAAAAATTGTTTTTACATGTAATTGGGGAAAAATAAAATACTCCATAAATAATAAAAAAGAATCCTGATTTAGTATGACACATTTGTGATAAAATCACTTAACCTCTATCTGCCCCAGTTTTCTCAGCTAGAAAATGGGCTAATTTAAGCATCTTCCATTTAGGGTTGTTGTGAGGATAAAAACAAGATGTTTGCGAAGCACTTAGCACAGTGCCTGACACAGGGTAGGCACTTAATAAATGCTTATTCCCTTCCAGCTTTCACTAAAAGGAGCATGTTTAAAATCTCCCGCTTTTTCAGGTTAAAGGCAGGGCAGTGAAGATCAGACCAAAAACAAAAGATTGGCTAAAAGGTCTTCAAGAAGAAATCGTACGGAAACGGGATAGCATCATATCCATGTCCCCCACTGTCAACTCCTGTCTGTTAGAAGAAAACTTTGACTTCTCCAGTTTGGACTACGAATCAGAAGGTTAGCAGCTATCCTGTGAGCCTCCCTGTGGGCAGTGGTGGAAAAGGAAAAGTAAAAAATCCCAACTTTAGAATTTGAAGTTAGAATAGAGTCGAGAAGTAAAGAGTTTTTTTGAAAAGTTCTCTCTTGGGGGTCATTCTTAATTCCTTAGCGATAGACACAGTCACTGTCCACGTGTAGGAGTTGGGTTATATGCATAGACCCACCTTGGAGGATTCCAAAAGCCATGTTGAGATTCACTTGTTTGGAGCTGTAGGAAGGGTATATGACAATTCAATGGTCACAACAGTCAATACTGTACCAGTTTCAAATGTGGTGTGTGTTCTGGAGGTTTCCTCAAACTGCGTGCGCATAGAAAACCTGCCTTAACATTGAAATGAGCTCTATAGCAAAGAGGGAAATGAGCTTCTTTCATCTTAGGGATGGTTTTGTTTTCTCTTTGCAGGAGACATTCTTGATGAAGACGAGGACTATTTGATCGATGAGCAACATCCCTCCTTCCTCACTGACACAGAACCGTCAGCAGACGATTATTTGGAAGCCCCGGGCTCTTCCACGGCAGGGGCACCTCCCAGCAAGTCTCCAGCATTGACTAAAAAGAAATCTCGCCCCTACAAAGGTAGCTTGGACCTTTCTGTCCCGCCCCCCAGGACAGTCTGGTCTTGGGTTATAGTTTCCCTATCTCAGGCAGGCATCTCCTAATTTCAGAGAGTAAAATGCCAAAATAACTCTTCCAAAACAGTTTCCCACTTAATACATAATGTCAAAGTCATAGTAGATAAATGCTGTTGTGCTGTCCTTATACGTACATACTGTATATGTATAATCTGGGTGTATACATCTACATTTGGGGTAGAGAAGAATCAGATAATTTCATAAAGTTCAGGTTTTAGTGTTCAGACTATTTGAAATTATTTCATAAACAACATTAGCTGTCACAGTAATAAAAGTTTAGACAGTGGTGAGCCCTAAAGGATGAGTATATAGGTTCAGCTATTGTAATGGTCATTGTGTACCAGAATCCCTTTGTGGGAGGTGCTGAAAATTGACCATGGAGGCAAAGTCAAGGTGATATTACTTCTTTTATTTTTTAATTTTTTATTTTTTGTCTAAGCAATGGGGTTAAGTGACTTGCCCAGGGTCACACAGCTAGTAAGTGTCAAGTGTTTGGTCTGAGGCCGGATTTGAACTCTGGTTCTCCTGACTGCAGGGTCGGTGCTCTATCCATTTCGCCACCTGGCTGTCCCGTGATATACTTCTTAAGGGAAGTTTCTGCAGTAAATGTAAAGAGATGTTCACACCTCCCCAGAGGAGCAGCAGGGGTTCCTTGTGGACTCTTTCAGATTTCATAAATGTGTAGGGGATTCTGTCCATTTTCCATTCAGTAGGACTTTTACACCCTTAACTGGAGATACAGACATTACTAAAGACATGGTATTCCTGAAAAAAGAGGCTTTTTTTTCCCTCAATGTAACATTATTCATCCAAGAACACATCAGTTTGTTTGTTCATTTATTTATTTATTTATTTAGGAATGTCTCTGTGTCAGATAAAGAACCATATTCAGGTGGAGGAGGCTGTTGAGGTCTTGATTCTGTTAGGTAGGTTGCCATCTGGTGAAACTATCTATGATATGGCCTTGATGCCGTTGAGTGTTTAATGGGAAAATAGCGACTTTTGTGTATTTAATTACACCCCTCATCTAGATAAAGAAATTGAGCTTCTTTCCCCAGCTTTAGCTGAGGTACATAGAGTTCAAAATTAAGCTGTCATGTTCAAGAGCCTAGCAATATGAGGCAGCTAGGTTGCACTGTGGTTAGAGCATTGGGCCTGGAGTGAGGAAGACCTGAGTCCAAATCCAGCCTCAGACTTCATAGCTCTGTGATCTTGGGCAAGTCACTTAACCTCTGCCTGCCTCTGTTTCCTCAGTTGTAAAATGGGGATAATAATAACCCCTACTTCCCAGGGTTGTTGTGAGGATGAAATGAGATATTGGTACAATGCTTGACACGTAGTAGGTACCCTATAAATTCTTGTTCCTTCCCTGTGTGGAGGAAAGGAACTTAAATTTATTTTGGATTTTATGCCCTATGCAATGAGGCAGAAGGGGTATCTCTCCCATATTGTCTTAGCTCAATCAAGTGTCTAAATTCCAAATACCAAGCCCTGATGAAAACTATTAAGTTACTGGCTTAGACTCAACAGAGACAGCAGGAACATTAAACATTTCTGCCTGGCAAATGACTGAGAATTTCTTTAGCTTCTTGAAAATGACCATTTTGGGAGTAAGTCCTGGTTTTCAGCAGTTTTTGCAACACTCTTCTTTGTGGTGAACTATTGTTCCTTCCAAACTGCAACAACTGTATTTCCAAAACTCTAAATCTCTGGTATATTTGCCAAACTAACTTCATCCTTGGTTCACTGAATGTTCCAAGCAGGCATTGATACCCATCCCCATGCCACCTTCCCTTCCTTCCTCCCTCCTTCCCTCCCTCTCTCCCTTCTCTGCCCCCTCCCCCCCAAAAAAGGGGGGGGAGGGACAGGTACAATCACTTATCCTACAGGAATGCTGACTTTCTACAGCTGGCTTTCTCTATGTCAGATTAAGCCTTTTCTCCAAATGACCTCACCCTCCCTTTTCTCCAACCTCTATTACCCCGCTTGTAAAAGGAGCTGCCATTTTGACCCTTTTGACATTCTTCGTGTTCCGCCATGTCCTCCAGATGATGCTGACCTGGCAGAGTTAAAGCAGGAGCTGGAAGCTGTTGGGGACTTCCGCCATCGTTCTCCAAGCAGGTCTCTGTCTGTTCCTAACAGGCCTCGGCCACCTCACCCACCACAGAGACCCCCACCTCCAAGTAAGACTTCACTTGCTTTTACTTTGCCACAATGCCTGCTGGGAATACTTGCTTCCATGTGACCACTGAAAAATAAAATCACTGAATCCAGGTATCTTTCGAACTATCTGTTTTTGCACAATAAGTTGGCTTATTTTCCTTCTCCTCCTCTATTCTGAAACTACTAAAGAGTACTGCTGTTGAAGCCAATGCCACTTTAGCTACCTCTGGGATAGCACAATGCATTTCCAGGAGTAACTGAAGGGATTGATTTTTCAGAACTGTTATTCATTCTAGCCATTTTCGCTTTTAAGCAAGAATCACGACCAGCAGGGAATTTCCTTCTGTTTAAAGTTCCGGCTAATTGATTATCTTTCCCCACCCATCTCGTCACACGAGGTCAGACTTTGTCTGTCTCCCTCATTTCATATGCTCGCTGCGCACCTTTTCACTTTGTTCAAATTGTGTAGTCCTGGTAAAGAAGGAAATCACTCGGAGAGTACCCTATTTAGTAGTGTCACATTGTAAAATAGATCAGGTAATCCCAGCCCTGCTACTATTTGTGTCCATGGGCAGTCTCTGAGCTTCAGTTTCCTCATCTGTTAGATTAGATAGATAACCTTTAACATGCCATCCAATTCATCATGTGTGGTCCTATGTCATTTACACAAGTAGTACTGTACGCTCACACTTGTGACAAGACAGCCTATAATTCAGCATTGTCATTGTCTTCCAACAGTATCATTCTAGTAGAGAAGTGGCTGCTAAAATCCTCTAGTGAAGACTAGAAAAACATGTCACTTGATATGGTTCTAGTAGTCTTCTTTGGCTTTCTAAAATGACTCCTTTGCTCGTAATACTACTTTTTACTTTCTGAAAATACAATTTTGCCTTGCCTTTTTCTGTCTTATGTTTCTCCTCTTCTGATTTTTTTTTTTGAGGGAGGCAGTGTCATTTTTGTTTATGTCCTTTTTAAAAAAATAAGACATAGACTTTCATATTCTCTGACTTCATTATTGGATTCCCACTGGCCTTTGTTTATCCCAAAGCAATCTCAGTTGCAAAAGGAAACTGAACACAAGACTTTAAAAAAGATAAAGTTTTGAATTTAAATTCAAAATCAATTCAGCAAATACCAAATGATAATATAACTTTTCTTTTTTTGTTTTAAAGAAATTCAAACCATACACTGAGAAGTTAAACTTTCCAGTAGGTAGTTAGTACCCATTCTAGCTGAATTATAGTAATCTATGACTGAATGAAAAAGGGGAAATCACTGTCAAGTGACTGTGATACATTCTATGTCTATGAATGCTTTTTAAGTGCCAAATAAGTAATATTACGCAAAAATATCTTGCTTCTAGTTTTCTAGACATCACTCTTGTTAGGAAATTCTCTTAAGGGCTCATTGGACCTTTCATCAGCCACTGGGACACTGACTGAGGTTTGAGGTTGTGCCTTTTTTTTTTTCTTCCAGCTGGTTTAATGGTGAAAAAGTCTGCTTCTGATGCATCTCTTTCCTGTGGCACTCATGGGCAATATTCCATCTTACAGACAGCTAAGCTTCTTCCAGGAGCACCTCAGCAGCCAGTGAGTTCTTCCTTTTTCTCTGTCCAAAATGGTAAAATTCCAGTTCCCAAGGCTCTTATACCTTGTGTCTCACTCCTGGGCTGAGATGAGATTATCTTTAGTTCATGAAAGTTTAAAATTCTTATGTTTTTAATGCAATAATCATGCTAGATACCTCCTTGATGCAAGATACTGTGCCAGATTTTAAAAGCAAAGACATATTTTCTTCCCTCCCTCTTCCAAAAAAAACCCCCAAAAAACAAACCCAACCCATTCCAATGTACCACAAATAGTGGGGTTTTTTTTCATGTGGGCCTTTAAAAAGTTTGAGTTTAAAAAGCTGTTTCTTGTTTGCTTCTAAAAAGAAAAATATACCCTAGAATGCTAAGTTAGTTCAAGGCTGCCATTTGTATAATTGCTTTGTAGTTTTTGCAAACTCATTGCTGCTTCCCTTCTACTAACTGACATAAAAATGGAGGACTGATCGCTTTAAAACCCCATATTCACTCAATTTTGGAATGACTTGGCATTAGCTCTAGCTTTTACCCCTTTATTTGTTTTATTTGTGGATGCCTAGCATTTTAGAGTAGAGCCCAACAATAGGAAAATCTAGAAATCTGACAAATGTTTTCTTTTGTATTCATTCAACAAACATTAAATGACCACTCTGTGTAGAGCACCATGCTATCTAGGGGCTAGAGAAGACATAAAGATCAGATAACACATATCTATGTCCATATGGAATTTATAAAGTCAAGTGGGGGGGTGAGAGGGATAGCATACATACACAGATGACTAATAATATATGCTAAATGCAAAAACAAAAAGTTACAAATTTAAGGCTATGTGAGGTCCAAGGTGGAGAAAGGCAGTTATCAGTAGTGATATCTTGGAATGCTTCATGGAGGTTGCATTTGAACTTAGTTTTCAACTGAGTAGGATTTCAGTAAGCAGGAGGAGGTGGGCAGGGGCTAAGACATTCCAGCTTTATTCTATAGGCAATCAAGGAGCTACTGAAGGGGAAGGATTTTAAGCAGAGACATAACCTTATCAGATTTATGTATAAAGAAATTTTTTTTTCTTGAAAGGATCAATCAATAAGGACTTGGGGGTACATATGGTGTATATATATCATATACATGGTATATATGTGGTAACTGAATCTGTTCAGGTTTAACAGGTGACATTCAGTGTGTTCTGCTGTGGAGATTTTGTCTACAAGGATTACTTATCTCCTTTTCCTCTTCTGTTTATCCGGAAGCCTAAAGCCAGGACTGGGATAAGTAAACCGTATAATGTCAAACAGATCAAAACCACCAATGCTCAGGAAGCCGAGGAAGCCATTCGGTGCCTCATGGAAGCAAAAGGAGGTGAGTGGAGTGGCCCACTAGGTTTTGAAATCTTTAGCCAGCCACAAGCCTTCAGTTTCCTTTTTCTCCTTCCAACCAGAAACTAGGGTCTGAGAAAGAATTGCATTTCCCTTTCGGATATGAAATTAAGTATTCCCTAATATCCTTGGTTTTCTCTAAAATTCCACTCAAGATTCCACTTTTGGTACTACCGAGTTTGTTTTTTGGCCATTTCTGGTCTCTTTTTTCTCTTGAAAAGAATATACAGCACTCAAAAATCCTAGTATATCGCATGAAGCCTTCATAATAGCAGTATGGGAAGGAGAGCTTCAAATAAACAAAAATGAATTTAAGAACAGTTGGTGATGCAAGGCAGTTAATTCATTCTGCTGGTTCTGTAGTCATCAGGTACTGGTGGTTTCATGTGACATTTAAGACATAAAGCTGCTCTTTTGAGTCACCCCTGAGAATAACTGGACAACACAGACTCTCATCAGTCTTTTCCTAGGTCTGTAATCCCACCTGGAGTTTCACCATCACTTTTTCCCATTAATTGTATTTTGTTATTCTCAGACTGAAATGGTTACATTTTACATTGGTGTCTCTGATTTCATTCTTCCCTGTGCATTTAGTTTACGTTTACCATCTAGATTTACAAATCCACAAAGAAATGTTTTGTTGTTGTAAAACAACAACAAAAACCCTTTTAAAAGTTGATGCTGTGTAGAAGTAATTCCATTCACAGGAGATAGGAATCTTTTCCAGTACCTTCATATCTGCCTCTATTCTAGGAGGTCAGTGTAAACAGCTGAGGCCAAGCTTTAGGCCAACAGCAAATGCTTAGAATCCTTTCTAGCAGAGAAGCTTAGGCTATTCGATCTCCAACGTACTGAGTCATAGTAGGCCAAGCTGGTCACGTGTCTGTACTAAATCAGCAGGGTGGTGAGCCTCAAGGAGTCGGGAACCACCATGCTGCTTGAAGAGGGGCCGCATGGCCCAGATTGGAAATGGAGCTGGTTCAATCTCCTGTCCCTGACTGCTCAGGAGAGAGACCTTCATTTGTTCAAACATGCTGTTGTTCTGTTTCAGGAACACAAGAAGAAACACTAAATGCAGTTTTCTTAAGGAACCAAGTGTCTACCAAACCACAGCCCTTATCTAATGTATCCAAGCCAGGGTCTTCTCAGACAACCCAGCTCCTCCCCCATCGACCCGCACCTAGAGTTCCTGTGATTAAGAAGCCAACTCTTCGAAGGACAGGAAAAGTAAGATGCTGACAAAAGAAACTTGCTATTCCTTCCTTTAAGTGTTAGAGGATAGAGAATGGGGGAAGGTGGATTTATTTATTTATTTTGTTAGGGATATATTTTGTAATCACAAACCAGTTGAATTTGAGTCCTTCTCCATTATCCAGTTCAAGAATCCAAGATATAAACAGACCTCCAGGAAAAGTTTTCACAATATTGTCATTTCTATCCTGGGTGACTCCCTCCATGCCCCATCTTTTTCTCTAGATGAGTCAAAAAAAAAAAACAACCAAACCTCAAAAAACATACAGTGTACTCTCCTCCACCAATCCACAGCTGCGATGAGATGAGTTTTATAAGGGTCCTCAAGCTCCTCAAAACAAAGGAAGTTGTGGACAGTCCTGAGTTCCTCGGTTTCCTGTATTCTCAGTATGCACATTCCTGAGTGTTGACACGCACAGATTTCGTTTCTTGATTGCAAAATGATTTATCACAGATAGGAATGTTCCCGGGCAAACTCTGGCCTGTGGCCTGGGGACACTGGTCAGACAGCTCTTATTGCCGCTTCTTTTGCAGATTGTCTTTTGCTCTCACTCCCGAGCTTCTCCACCTTGCTTACTGCTTCAGAGAAATGAATTTGTAAGGACAGTAGCAGCACAGAGACTTGCACCCATAGAGTCATCTGGATCCCCCGTTTGATCTCAGAATGTGCTAGTTAACCGGACATTTGGTAAACACCGGCCTAGCCATCATTGCAATCCATCCCTCACCCTCTGCCATTTCTTCACCTTTGTAGAGAATAGAAGTGATTTTGGTGCCATATACTTTAGCTTGCCATCTCCTTTCTTGGTCACTAGCTGTGCTGTGCTTTGGCTTATCATCTGTTCATCCTTCTTTCTTTCTCATCCTCTTCCTCAGATGTCTCTATTCTCTTCTTAAAAAAAAAAAAAAAAAAGATCAGCATTGTGTCTACATATCCAGGCTGCCACAGGGGAGTTGCAATAAAATACTCTCAGAAAAGTTGAGGGTTTTTTTTCTCCTAAGGGTCCAAAGGAAATGCCAACAAGACTGTTGTGACATTGGCATTCACAGTGGAAAGCATGACTCGTTTAGCACAAATAGCCTGTTTAATGTGTGTGATTATTTTGAAGCATAAGCCAGGAAGTAAAGTTGACATGTAAAGTTTATATATTCACGATCTTTTTTAAAATACATGCATGACTCAAAATAGCTGTGACATCAGTGAGATGAGTAAAATCCTTTAGCCTGCTTAGTGCCATCCCACTCAGGTATAATATTAATCCACTAATAAGAGTCTTCATGTTGTTCAGAGTAAAGAAAAAATATCCACCGAAAAAGAGGAATGATTTCAGAAGTATTTATTTTTAGCAGTAAGTCTGTAATCCCTAGTGTGGCACACTGGAAAAGTTTGCCCCCATCCATTCAGCATGACCTTTGGTTTCATCATTTCCATCCCTGCTGGATGAACTGAACCTGCCCTTACTCCTAGGTAGCTGCCATTTTTGTTTCCCTGCCCAATTCTTTCTTGTTTGGCTCATCCCCATCCCCATTTCCGGCATGCCAGTCATTCTCAACATTTTGATGTTAGAATGTTAGTTCATTCCCACCTCTGTTCTTTTTTCCCTACGAGTGTCACATGACTCTGAATTTCGAAGTTTCATTTACATATTTGCTTACTGATCTCCATTGTGTTTTCTTCAGTCTTTATCCCCAGAAGAGCAGTTTGAGCCTAGTGTTGAAAGCACCACTCTAGTGGCGCCCCCTCGAGTTGCTCCTGTCCCCAAACCAAGAACACTGCAGCCTGGGAGAACTGTCGAGAGAAGACTGAGTGGGGAAGTGCCTGCTGACGGAGATGCCACGGTGTCCCCACCTTTGGAAACTGCTTCCCTTGTTCCCAAGGTTCCCCCCAGGAGGAAGAAGTCGGCCCCAGCAGCTTTTCACCTGCAGGTTCTGCAGGGCAACAATTTGCTCCTCCAGGACGTGACTTGCTGTAGCGGGAACAACAACCACCACCACAATGACTCTCACCCTTGGGCCGGCGACCAGCCTGACTCAGGCCCACTTGCTTCACAAGCAGACCTTCTTGGCACTTTACCAGGGCCCAGCCTACATGCCGACAGTACAAAGGCAGCAAAGACAGAGGCAGCCACCCTTCTTGGTGAGCATCAGGACCCCTTCCTGAGCCTCCTCCACCACCCAAAGATATTGAACACTGGCTGGTTTACTAAGAGTGCTGAGCCTTTGGGTACAGTCACCCTGAATCTGGAAAGGGAACCCCCCAGCCCAGCACAAGTGAGTGTTCCAGCTGCTAAGGTGGGACCTTCACCAGCCCACGGACACAAAGACTTTGGACACTGGGTTATATTCAATGATGAGGAAGACCAGAGGACAGCATTGCAGCTGTTTGATCCACTGGCGAAAACATGACAAAAAGACCTTTACAAACACTCACTGCCTTGTAAAGTTGTGTGTCTTTTTCCCCCTCAACATATCATTCACTGTAAATCCCAATAAGAAACTCCCTCTATGTCAAATGGGGACTTTTTCTTCTTCTGTTTAAACAGTACATTGGAGAAAGTATAAGTGTTTATTTGGTCTTACAGAATTTTCTGAAAATAGTTTATCTTTAATCAGTAGGATCAATTGTCATTCCTCCACCTTAGCCACTGAGAAAATGCTTTGTTGCAGGTTTGGGCATGTTGGGTTATTTTTTCTCTTTGTGAACTTTCCTTTTTTCTCACTCTTGACTTCCCCACCCCCTAAAAAAATGTCTCATTGCATGTTTTTTTTGTTTTTTTTTTTGGAGAGAGAAACTGCAAATCTAATGGGTATTTTGCTCCAGGGTATGATTTCTCTCCTTGAATATGGACTGCATGTTACAAGTCACAAGATACTTGTGTGTTTTCTGTATAAATTAGCTGACATAATGGTACCAGATTGCTCACCAGTACCTTTAAACTGGCCTTGCTTAAACCGTCAGCCTTCAGTCAACTAATTTGTTGAAAAGCCCCAAGACCAAAGTGGTTGAAAACATGTCAAAGGCAGTGTTGGAAGAGGTAAGCAAAAGTGAGCCAAATGCCCAAATATACATTTTGTTGATCCTGTGTCATAAGATTCTTGTCCACATGCATAATACTGTGGATTTACATTGAGCCTATGTCTAGTGTTTTAACACTAGCTCAAATTGACTAAAAAAAAAAAACCAAAACACTTGCACCATGACCTATGTGATATATAGTCCTTAAACTGCTGCAGATCCTTGGCATGTGTTTTTAAATTATGTCTTTATACTACATACCTAGTATACCACATAAAACCTCACTAATCTTTTTCTCATATATTCCACAAACAGAATAAGCACAAAATGAATAGCTTTGTTTAGTGATTGTGCACATTTGAAAGTCCACGTTATCCTGAGCTTTCTATCCAGAGTTTTCTAGAGGGACAGTACCACATGCCCCATCATCAAACAACCTCTAAGACAAAACTTCTTTGTTCTTTTAGGTGTCTTTTTCTTTTTTTTCATGTGTGTATGTGTTCTAGCTTTTTTCCCCGCCAGCTCCAAAATTACATTGATTTCTGGCTCTCTAAACCATACTGAATGTGGTAGGAGTGTTTCTGTTTTTAAACTGTTAGGCCTGAGTTGCTCTGCTTTTCGCTTGGAGCTGATCAGATTTTCTTCATGTGGAATCCATTGGCCACTCGGGGTAAATAGCCACGTGTACAGAGACACAAATGAATACCACTTGTTTACTCAGGTTCAGCCTAGATGACTTACAGGTAAGGTTAAACCCTACTTTAGAGATGGTATAAGAATAAGACACAGTTTAGAATGAGAGCAGTTGCTAGTGACCTTGGTTCTCAAACACTATTGAGTTTCCCAAAATTCTTCATTTTAATTCACTTTAAGTTTTAAAGAATAAACATGGTGTTATACCACTTTAAGGAGTTAAGGGAGGAAAACTTCAAACCAAACAATGACAGCACGTTACAATCCTCAAAAGTCTGAATGTTTTAGCTCCAGGACACCCAGAGCTGGTAGGTAGTGTGTTAAGAGGATAAAACAACACAGTATCCTATTTATTTTCAAGCAGAGAATTTTGGCCTTTTGGTTCTTTGAGATGCCTTGAATATTTAATCATTCTTCTATATTACCTACAGAACCAGGATTCAAGGGATGGCCAAGGATGTCCTCTTCTACCTGTATTTTTTTTTTTTTTAGGGATTCCCCCTTTCCTCTGCCCCCTTTCTCAAATACTTGGTTGTAATGAAGGTGAGTAGGACCAGGCTGTTCATAACCATGCCATTTTCCTTCTTACCACAGCCAGAGTCTGAGTTTTGAGAATGGCTCTCTTTAATGCCCAGTAAATTAATACTAGCCCACCTCTCTTTTATCTCGAGTCCGTTTTCAGATGCAATGGACATGTTGGGACCCCCAGCTTATCAAATGATATCCATGTGGAAGTTGAAAGCACTCCGATGTGTATCTGCTACAACCCTGTGCTGTGAAGCAGACGGGCTGCATATGAATTATCTTCATTTGTTACTGGCTAGGAGATTGAGGCTGGAAAGTTAAATTATCTCAGGACGAATGAGGGCTTGAACCAGAATCCAGATCTTCTGAGTCTTGGCTCAGTGTTCTTTCCAAAAGGGGTATATTGCTGACCTTTCAGCTCAGCAATCTGCTAAAAAAAAAAAAAACTGCGAAGGAAAAAGCCAAGGAGTTAAAGTTTGAAAGAAGTTAAATGTGATGTGATTGGGGTTTTTTTTTTTAAAGTTACTTGTAAACAGAGGAAAAAAATTTTTTTTTAAAAGATATAGAATAGCAGATGGAACTGACAGATGAAAGGAAAATAGAAATTGTGCAAGTGTTAGCAGAGAGTAGATTGTGAGTTGATAGAATATACGATAAGTTATCCCACCCTACGGTTTCATTTTTAAAACTGGCAGTTTATATATAAATTGGTTGATATGTATGTGTGTATACGTACATATACATATACATGTATATATAAATGGTGTCTTCCCTGCACTGGAAGCAGAAATTGAATGATAATCTAGGTTCTTGGTCTTTGGTATGTCATGGAGCCCTTTAGTAGTGTGGTGAAACCTCAGAATAAGAAATCCTTAGAATAATGTTTCATAGGATTACAAAGGAAAACAATTACACCGAAATAAAGATGTAACATTTTTTCTACCAAATTCACAGACCCAGTTTAAAACCCCTGATTCCACGCTGCACTATGGAGAATTTACTTCTATAACTTTGCTTTTTAGTTTTTCCACTAAAATGGTCCTACGAAACCTGATTACTGTCAGTCTGCTACTTGTAATACAGATGGTTTGAAAAGCTATAGGTTACTACGGAGTTATTCAGGTACCTTGAAAATTTAGCTTTGCCTCTGTCCGTATTCTCTGATGCCTATTGGGTTATGGTACTGTCTTCTGAAATACATCACAGGATCAATTTAGAGCTAAAAGAGAGCTAGAGTCCACGTAGTCAAGCCTCCCCTTCATTTTATATGTGAGGAAATGGAAGCCCAGAGTGGTCAAGCGACTTCCCAAGGTAGGTCTCACTGGGGGCAAAGGACAGGTGAAGCCTTGATTCAAACCCAAGTCTACAGACTCAAAATTCAGTGTTCTTTCCATAGTACAATGTTATTTTTTTTTTCTGCTAAGACTCACATAAATATGGTTGAAATAAAGACCATTTATCCCTGTGAAGGTTTTGGAATAGTTGCTGCTGCTGAAACATTGTTAATAAAAGCACTGCCAGATATACACATCCATCCAACCCAAGGTAATTTATTAAAGTATTTTCTCCATAATAATGCATCAAGTGTGTTGAGAAAGGAATTAAGCAGATGATTTACTGAGTAAATTGTAACCACTTAGCAGTTGAAAATCTGTGATGTTTTGTTTGAAGTGGATTTTTTTTTTGTATTCAAGTTGTAAATATTGTCTATTAAATGTTTCTTTTAAAAAAAAAACCCACAAAACTAACAGTTGAATAATTCATACTTTCAGACAGAAAACCTTTGGAAATCTTCAATTGTCAGCTTTGGCTGTCCTAGTCCAACCTGAACATGCAGATAACATAGCCATTTGCAAACCATATGACAAATAGTTTAATATAAAAGGAGAAAATAACCTATTCAGAAAAAGCTGAAAAGGAAGCAAGTATTTGTACTGCCTTGACAAACTTATACAGACATTATATCAGGAAAAACTTTAAGTTAGCAGTTACTGTTTAAGTAGAGCAAGAATGGAACTCCTTTCCAAACAAAGTTGTTGGCGAGACATGGTTTGAGTGTGCATTACAGCCTAGAGAGAGAGGAGTGGAAAGGCTCACTCACATCAGAGTCTTTCCTGTCCTATGTCTGTCTGCATGGGGCCCATGTATTTCAGTAGTAGGAACCTAAACCATTCTCCTCATGGCTGATTCTTCTTGAACAATACACAAGGGCAGCCTATAACAAATACTTGTGTAAGTCGTTCCAGTCGTGCCCAACTCTCCACAACACGGTGCAGCAAAGATCACCACTGCTGGGATTTTCTTGGCAAAGATACTGGAGTGCTTTGCCATTTCCTTCTCCAGTGGATTGAGGCAACAGAGGTAAAGTGACTTGCTCAAGGTCACACAGCTAGTAAGTGTTTGAGGTCAGATTTGAACTCAGGTCTTCCTGACTCCCCACCCAGCGCTCTATCCACCCAGCCACCTAGCTGCCACTTTAATCAACAGATTAAGGATTAAACAGATTAAGGAATATTTTGATGCTACCATGTTTGCCTTTCACTTTGATTTATGACAAAAGTACTTCATGCTTGGAGCCAATAAGATTATTCAAATCAAATTGCCATATTTAAAAGAGTTGCATTCTGTGACTCAATGCCTCCGTTTAACTCACTTGCCTTATGAAGCAATTACAAAGTCCCTGAAGTGAAGTTCTGATATACTGAATAAATGAATTTATGGTTATTGGTATTCCCCACCCCCCACCCCCCCATCCCCTGCCCCATTCAGAATCACCACTGACTTTGTGTTATGGAAAGACAGTGCTTAAAATAGTTCATCATTTACATTTTTATGAAAGTGGCTCATTCTCATTTGGGCAATCCTTGAGTCTGAAGATTCTTCCTGGTTTTTAATGCTTTTAGCCTTATTTTTATAATTTTTATAGTAGTATACCACCCTTTTTAAAAAGGCAATTTTCTAGTATATTTTTAGGCACTTTCAATTTAGCAGATATTTGCCTTGCTTTAAGATCCAACATAAGGGCTTAATCAGTTCTGTAGGTGCTTTTAAATTTTTATTAAACATTTCCCACAGGCACAAAATTGTTATTACACAAAATGACAATAAAAGTATACACTGATGTACCAACAGTACAGAAAAATGAAAATTCAGGGTTTGTGCCTCAAATTCCAGTAATTACAAAAGGACTTCAGAGGCACTGTGACATATGAACACAGCACAAATGGGAAGACATTGTAAACATCATTGTATTGTGCTCTATTTACAGTTGTGAAATGCTGGCACCTGTTATTCTGTCTATCTCCATGTGGCAGAAAGAAACACTTACCAACATTCCTTTTGGGTGTAACTGTAAGGTTGCAAATCTGCTCAGTGTCCAAGACAGAAGGGGACTCTTACATTCTACTTTCCAGTCTGATTCCCACCCTACCTCAGGATGGAGAAAAACTCAAGCTCTGCCTCTGCCCAAGGTATATGTGCAGTATAAAGCAGGTGCCTGGTGGTTTTTAAGGGAAGAGAGATGAATCAAGGTTTATAATAACAAATAGCAACTTTATGTCTCATTAGAGCTTATTTTAAAAAAGCAGAACCTATAGTACCTGGCAACTGCCCAGCATGTCCATAAACATGATCATGATTATGGGTACCCTCAGAATCATTTAAACAATCATGTTAAAATGTGGTCAGGAACTCTGGGTGATTTATCTTGGGGGAGAAAAAGCAAAATTAGTTTTTTCTAGAAGTTGCATTGAAAAGCCATTAATGAAATTAACCTATTAATAAAATGGCTGTTTTCCAAAATTATTCAAATCTATATTATTCTTACTATTTTACATCACCACTTATGTACCTCGTTTTTAAAAAGCCAATGGCAGCTAAACTCATTGTCATTTCATCTTCACAAGGTAAAACTCCTGATCTCACAAAGCTATTGTGATGCTCAAAATAAATACAGGGCATTAAAAATACACTGCAGATTTTAAAGTGCTATATAGCATCCAATGTGATTATTACTATTTTCATCAACATTCAGTGTGCCTACACACTACCCCATATAGGTAAGATAATTTGCCTGCAAACTTATGGTAAGTTCAAAGCAAAGTTGGACATCTTTCCCAAACATTATTCTCAATAAGAGGAATAGCTACTGCATTAAGATTTCCAGAAACAATCGCATACCATTCTTTCAAGTTAATGGAAAGTACTTTTAAGTATTTTTAAAAACCATTTGTTTTTAGTTGTGGGTTATTAGTTGACAAGATAAAAAGGAAATATTCCATACTAAAACATCCCATTGTCACAGAACCATGGGCCAGAAAAACCTACAGGTTTACTTCTGTGAGCTCTAGTCTTCATTCTTTCCCAAACAACTGGGTAACTAAATATGTTGAACTTTCAACCATCTGTCACATCTATACAATGCAACATATTCCTCTCAATCCACCTTCAGATAGCCCAATTTCTACTTTTATAAATAACAATCATTGTTTGTTTTCTTACATATATATTCATCCTTCACCACTCTAAAAAAAAAAAAATTCCTATTTTGTGAAAGGAAATGTCTGCCAAATCCAAACTAGGTAGCATACAGTATCACTGAGTAGTTCTAAATGTTACTTAAGTGCAGTTTTTTTTTTATACACGTTTATGATATTTAAACACTGGATTAATCAACAACCCTCACTCTTTATCTGAGAATAAGTTAATAGCAGAATAGTACATTATTTAAAAGGTTAGCCTAAAGTGAATGCACAAGAAAATTATTTATCCTTAGCAACAGAAGCATACAATAAATTTCTATCTGTGAAGCCAGTTCAATCACTCAGATATGAAAAAGCCAGCTTTGAAATGCAGACAGCCTAAGTGAAGTTTATTATTTTTTTTAGAAGTCTGCTGCATTTGTGAAACCTAAAATAAAATCAAAATCTAATCTATTTTGGTCCTTAGTGGTAATTGCTCCCCACTTCAAGTATTCACCAAGTGACAGATTTTTCTGGTTAAGAAGTGGCATTTAATCCCTTTCAGGTCCACTAATTCTTTTTCTGGTGGGAGTCAGAGGGCTTGTCACAGCAGAAATGAGGAACACTTCAGCTCTCTTTCAGATGCCACCATCTTAAAGTGTAGACTATAAACTGATGCACAGAAAATGCCCTTAATGGAAGAAAATTTAGCTACTCAATCTTTATTGCCACCTCTGCTTGTGTGCTTTACCTTTCAGGTATTTTTGAGTAGCTTCCTGCTGTCTTCAATGTAGTCCAGACTGCCTTGGTGTCTTATCTATTGGGTCTTCTCAGTTCCACAGATCTCAAAAAATGCCCAGCATCATGTCCACACGACAGACAGGAACAAGAATGAAGACCTATTAATTTTCAAGGTCTTTAGCTAATGTTTCTCGAATGAACTGTAAGGTACGTTGGTACAAGAAAGTGTCCTTCTTCTTTGGCTTGCAAATATTCAGATGATTA